GTTTAATCCTGCTGAAAGGAATTACGAAATCTTCGACCATGAACTCCTTGCAGTAATCCGTGCCCTCAATGAGTGGCGTCATTACCTCGAAGGAAGTCCTCATCCAATAATCGTTTTCACTGATCATATGAACCTCCTGTATTTCCGGCAGGCCCAGAAACTGTCTAGACAGCAGGCACATTGGCAATTGACTCTGTCCAACTATGATATTCAACTCCACCATGTCCCCAGTACCAAACTTGCCACACCAGATGCTTTCTCCTGCAGACCTGATCATAGTCTCAGCAAAGATGATAATGAAGACCGCATCTTGCTGCCTGACTCTATGTTTATTCGACTTCTGGATGATGAGCTTAGCACTGCTATATCTCTCAATTCACTTGATGATCCTCTATTTGCTACCGCCTCTGATGCCTTGAATGGTGTCTGTCTTCCTCCTATGAAATCTGCTCTTTCTGACTGAAGACTTGTTAATGGTGTACTGTTCTACAAAGACCGAGTGTATGTGCCTGTTGCACAACGATCTGACATCCTCCGACGACACCATGATCACCCCACTGCTGGTCACCCCAGTCGCTTCAAAATGGAGGAATTGATCAAGTGGGATTATTGGTGGCCTGCCATGGGTTCCTTTATTCACAACTATGTTGCTGGCTGCACCTTATGTCAGCAAATGAAAGCTGACACTCATCCAACCACACCGCCATTGTGTCCCATTCCCTCCTCTGCCACTCACCCATTTAGTCAGGTCTCTGTTGACCTGATCACTGATCTTCCGCCTTCTAATGGCTTTGTCCATGCCTTTCAACGTGCAGTTAGTGGAGAAACGGAGCAAGTTGGATTGGATATGGACTAGGTACAAATGCAATAGCGATTTGAATTAACAAAAGTTTGGGAAGCTGATTGGGTACGCACTGGAGGCATTGTATGGCACGTGAAAGGCTCTAACGATGGAGAAGCTTGAATGTATGGTGCGATGATGACTGTGTGTTCTCGGAGGTATAGGGTAAATGTGTCGCTTGACCATATTCCCATAGATTTAACCACATCGAACAGGACTCCTCTTAGAAGATACTCTAGGGTACCACCTATTCGCAGTCCGTGTCCCTTAAGGTTTGGAAGGTTGGTGGTATGTGCAATGGAAGAGAGTCTCTTGGTGAGTTCTTTCTTCGAGAGGGGCCTTAGGCCTTTGGGGTGCTTCCAAGCGAAGAGGTGTGCTTTGTTGTCGGATGCATTGATTTGAAGGTGGTTCTCTAGAGCGGCTTTTGGGTCTGATGGGTGGTCTTGTTGCGCCCAATAAATGTCCTCTCCTTCTAGCGGAGATGCTTTTGTGCTCGGGACATGGAATTTTGTAACCAGTAGTCCGTTGCGATCAACGGCAGCTGAAAAGCAATCTCAAGTGACGTGTTTGTTGGGATCAAAGGCTTGGATCATAGGTACTGTAAACTCCCCGAGTCGCGCTATGGAATAGAATGTGGTTGTGATACAAGCAAAAATGGCTGTGTCTTGAGGGTCGTTGAGATTGATGTGCAAGCGAATGGCTGAGAGAATGTCTACTGTGAACGGGGCACATTTGGAACACTTCGAAGAGGTTGGGGCATGCTTGGCTGCTCCGTCTAGAATAGCCTTAAGTTCTTTGGCATCTACAATCCATGGACGGCCGTGTAACAAATGCCAAGCTTTCAATCCTGCTGCATAGTTGGCCAGTGCTGATGCTGAGTATGAGCCTGTGCAGCTCGATAAAAATGCAAGAAGGAGGGTAGGGGGAATTGGGCAGCGTTGCTGTTCTGGGATGTTGAGAGTGTCGCAATATACATGGAATACTAATAGGCCCGCACCGTAAGTTTCCTTGGTGGATTGTGCCCAAGATGCGCCCATAACCTCTAGGATATGATTGAGCTGTGCGTCCAAGATATTGATATCTGGTACCTCTTGGGCTGCGCGTGTTGGGAGCCGCGCATTGCCACCAGACGGTAGCCATTTATGGAGGCGTTCATGAGCTAGGCAGTGCGGCCTTAAGGGTGAGGGAAGAGGAGCGAGGTCAGGTCTGTAACGTTGGGGGGGAAGAGTGTTGGGCAGGGAAAGAGGATTGGGTACTAGCGGGGCGCTAAAACAGGTGTGTGGGGTGGTCGAACTAGTCAGAGATGGCATTGAATATGATTTCGTCTTCTTCTGCGCGCAGTGCTCTGGCTCGCTCAAAGGCTTGTTGGCGAGTGAGAGTTATGTCGATGACTTTAGTGGCAGCAGGGGCATACTTCCCATTACGGAACAGGCGAAGTTCTGTTGGGGTGAGGGGAGCTGTAGCATCGATGACGAGTTCTCTGATTTGAGATGGAAGGTGGGGTTCAGGGAGTAGAAGGCGCTTAGGTCTGAATACGCCTCTGGAGATGTCGTCGGCAGGGTTAGATTTGCTGGGGACATACTCTGTGCAGATTTCAAAACATCTGGGTAGAGCGTGAATGAATTCGTGTATTCGTCGGAAGACTTCATTGACGGCCTTGTTTCTGTGGCTTCCTTTCCACCAGCCTTCCACCACGCCCGTGTTGTCGCCGTAGACGATGATGTGGTTGCCAATGTTAGGGAGAGAGGCGAGGGTGTAGACCAGGAGCTCGAAGCCAACGGCTTCGGCCCAGCCAATGTCCCGCTTTGCATTGTTGGCTGTCTGCCAGCCTGGTACAAGTCTCCAAGCGTGCCATTGGTCGCCGACAACAATGCCAATGCCAATGCTCGAACTGGCATCAGAAAAGGTGAGAGGTTTCGAGAACTGTGCTGGTTGGTGGATTGGGCGGGCTACTCCACCTGATCGTAGCAGTTCTGCCCACCAGTTTAGGTCCGGTTCAACCTCTTTATCGGGGCGATGTGGGAGAAGTGGCTTCTTCCGGCAGATGGCGATCATACGTTCGAGACTCGTAAGGTACGCTCTACCCCTTATCACTGCTGCGGAGGCGTGCATCAGTTTTCCATAAAGCTCGAGTGCTTCTTGTAGCACGTGTGCCGGCTTCCTTCTCCATTGGTGAATGGCCATTAGGTACTTTTCGACCTTCGTGAGACACAGCGTGACTAGATGGAGGGAGAGGTCCCATAGGAAGCTGATATAGATGGTGGTGGGAGCAAAGGGCTGGTCTTTGGCAAGTTGCCAGAGGATGCCTAGATCGATGGAGGCGTCGTCAATGTCCTGTAAGTTGGAGCAGAAAAGGAGATCGTGATCTGATCTTGGTGAGTTGCCGGATAGGTCTTTGATGGGCTGGGAGCAGTCCTCGCTAAGTTCTTCTGTCAAACCATCATCAAAAATGTGGCCGCCAAACCATATCCTACTGTCGGTTTGATGCATGCCTCGTTTGGCTAGGTCACGGTGCCATTGTGCCCGCTTTTGGTTGTATTCATCCCGAAATTCTCTTCGGATTCTAAAAAAGATGTGGTCATCTACCCATTTATCTAATGGGCCTAGGCCTTTGAATTGGAAAATCTCGGCGCCCGCATCTGCCACATGTCCATAAGCGCCTGCAGAAGGTGTCGCTCTGAAAGCTGTGCACATGTCAACATAAAATTCGGTATTCGATGTGCGTACTACAGCAGCAGGCCACTGGGAGGGGTGGAGGGGGATGGTTCTATAGGCGTCTGCGACATTGCACGTGGCCGCCTCTGAACCTGGAGGGAGTCTCGATATAAGTAGGTAAACAACTGAAAACTTTCCCCAGGTAGTGGGGAAATCATTAGCATTGATATATGAATTGATGGATGGGTTTGGAAATTGGGGATCGAAGGAATGGGGGAAGGAGAAGTTCTGAATTAATCTAAATTTGCCCGGCTTGCTGGGCTTCGGGATAATTGAAAGGGGGGAGGACTGGAAGGGTCCGATAAGTCTGGAAAGGGTATAAGTAGAAAAGGGTCCTATGTAGCGTGTGGATTGAAATTTGTTCTGTATACTGGCGAGAAATTGGTCTTTGTAAGTAATGATGGAAGGTTTATTAGGAGGGGATTGTGTAGAAGAGATAGTAGGAAAATTTAAATTGAAACTGTAACGAATACCTTCAGGGACTTTGGAAAAGCGCAGGAGGAGTCCTGCGTCGTGGAGCTTGTTAGTCCAGGCGTCCACTTTGTAAGGTGTGATGGGATTATGCCTTCTGCGCTCTAGGGCAGCACTGGGCTCCATGTGTGAATGCTCCGCATCCTGAGCAGATGTGTCGGGAGTCATGTCTATTGCTGTTGCATCCTTCTTCTCATTGCCAGGATGTGCAGAGTTGTTTTCCTTCCTTTGTCCAGAGGGCTTTATGGATGCGCTCTGAGATGGTGTCATGTTTCCCATCCCAGGTAAGGGTTGCTGCGCAGTCGATTGTTCGGTGCGGGTTGCATCTGAGACAGATGGCACAACAAGGCAGGGGCGCGTTGGGGTCTCGAAAGGTTCTAGGTTTCTTGGTGAACCTAGAGTCTGGCGATGGAGGTGGAGAACACTTTTGGGAACTGGAAACCAAGTGATTGTGCTGTGGTTGAACTCTGCTCATGGATGTAGCCGCGATGGCACGAGGCTAAGTGTCGTGATGTAGAAGGAAAGGAGGGAGGGGTTGGAAGGTTGGTGGTTTGGTGGCGCACGGTGGCCAAAGAGTAGTCCAGAAGGGGACGTAGCCGTGATGGCCAGATTTGTGGGGGGGGTTGGAACATGATGTCTGGGTTTGGTTGGGGGGGGGGGAGGAACATAATGTCCGGGTTTTGGAGGGGGGGGGAGGAACATGATGTCCAGGGTTTGGAAGGGTAGGAAGTCCGGGGAAGGACATAGCCATGATGGCCAGTTTTGTTGGGTGGAATGCGATGTCCAGGGTTTGGTGAAGGGGTTGTTGTTGTTTGGACGTGATGCCAAACGTTGTGCAAGGGCGGTGATCGCCAAACGAAAGAAAAGGAGGATAGGGAAGAGTTAATTTTAGTGTACATTCATTTAAGATTTTTGTAAGTGTACGAACCTGAATGGAAAGCTGTTGGATCCTAAACTGGTCGAAGATCACCTCTCAAGCTTTGTTTAAGAGGTCTTGGTTGATTTTTGCTAAGCTCCAGCTGTTCGAGCTGCCAATGGACAGGTGCCATCGCCTTTGCTGTTGAGCTTGGTAGAGCAGCAGTGCTCGTTGCTTATGGGCATTGAAGTCATGCCACCAGCGATGGTTCTGCAGAGCCAACCAGAAGGCTACATGCATGTCGATTCTGTCGTCCAGCCAATCATTCTCTCTCATTACCGAAATCATGCAAGGGGCTGCCTCATTGAACTGCTCCCATGTGAGGTTTTCATCTTTTAACATGTGCACTTTGGGGTCTCGTGCTGCACCGGCGGGGATCCATTTGTGAAGTCCGTCTGAGGTGGGTAGCATAACGAGGGCATCCTCATCTGCTGTGAAGGTGGCCCGGGACGTTTCTTCTAGGCCAGCGTTTGTGAAATAGAACAGTTCACAATAGTCTTCAGACTTCATCTTTCGGATGGCGTATTGGCATGGAAGGATGACTGGGTTGGAGGGGATGTCAGTGTTACGGATTGGGGTGTACTTTGACTTGTTCTTTTTCCGGTCTTCTAAGATAGCGGCTTCCTGTTCTGCAAGAAGCACTCGCTGTCGTTCCGCCTCTGCCTCTATTTCTTGTCTGTGTTCGGCTTCTTCGTCTTCCAGTCTGTCTGCCCATCAGATTTTGTCTGCATTGTTCTGGATGCACCAGAGGTTATCTAGCAGGTCTGCTGCCTGTTGGTTGTCTATTGCATTGCTGATGAGTTGTGCGCGAGCTTCTGCATGCTCGGGCGACAGGAAATTTGGGATGACAGCTAAATTAGGGTTTTCTGCAAGGTTTGGCATTATGGTAGATAGCGTAGTAAAGAAAGGCAGCGGGGTATAGTAGATGATAAGAGAATTCTAATAATGAGAGACTGTAGCTCGACTACTGATGTGAGTCGGAGCAAGGTGCATTGTGCCACTTTGCTTACTCAAGCATAGACTCATTTCTGCGCTAGCCGAGGCACGAGGCTAGCACAGAAAACCAATTCTGTCATGGTCGTGGTAGACCATGGCCTTATGAAGGGGGTAATTATTACTCCTTGCAGTAAAACCATTTCCTCGGAAGGAGTAGCTAAACTCTTCTTCAAAAATGTTTTTAAACGGTTCAGACTCCATGAGAAGGTGATCTCTGATTGAGGACACCAATTTATCTCGAAATTCTCTAAAGAACTAGCTCACCTCCTCGGGTATCAGATCGCCGCCTCTACTGCTTACCACTTCCAGACTGATGGTCAAAATGAATGACTCGATCAGGAACTAGAAACATACCTGTGAATCTACTGCAGAACTAACCCCCTTGAATGGTCCGACCATCTCCCTCTCGCAGAATTCGTCCATAATCATTGCAAACACGACGCAAGGAATAAGTCCCCCTTCTTCCTCATGATGGGATATGAACCCAGAGGAATCCCTCATGTCCTCCCATCCTCCGACATGCCCACAGCAGAAGAATGGCTAAGGACCCTGCAGAAGATATGCGAAGAAGCGATCTCTTGTCATAACATCGCTATGCAACGAATGGCAGAAAGGTCGCACAGAAAGAAGTACACCCCCTGGAAGATAGGAGATAAGGTGTGGCTTACCACCACCAACCTCATGACCAAACTTCCATCCAGGAAGCTTGCACCCAAACGCTACGGACCATTTCCCGTAACAGCGGTCTTATCTCCCATCACTTTCTCCTTGAAATTCCCTGAACAATGGAAAGTTCACCCCACGTTCCACGCTTCCGAATTATCGTCCTATCAGGAGACAGAAATACATGGACCGAACTATGCAGAACCACTTCCAGATATAGTCAACAGCGAAGAAGAATATGAAGTCAAGGCTATTCTTAGCCACAGAAGCACGGGAAAACAAAGATGCTATCTTGTATCTTGGGTCGGGTACTCCTCTGGCAGCAATGAGTGGATTCCCGAAGAGAACCTGCGGAGTTCTAAAGAACTCCTAGTTGCCTATAAAAGGAGACATAAACTGAACTAATAGTCATCTGCTCCCGCCTTATTGAAACCTACCAAAGCATGACTCCTCCTCAGACACCATTGCCTACCGACTCCAACGTTTCTCACCTCTCCCTATGTGACACATTCTATAAACAAAACATCATTAATGTCGAAGACAACGTCATTGTAGAAACCACTCTCTCGTCCCTTGCTCACATGGAAGAAATAGAGAACCAACTAGCCAAGGAACCCACACATATCGCTGCCCCCATCCTATCCCAAATCCACATCATACAAAGCACCGCAAAGCTAGAGCTCAGGCTCAACGACATTGAGGACAATGCCCTCAAACTATCATGCCAACACATCCAGAGACGCATTTGCTCTCTCACGATTCAGCTTCTTCCTGGTTCTTTTAGTGACGTCTGCAAAGCAGTTATACGAGTTGTTGCAGAACGAAACACGACCCAAGTCGGTCACCTGCCAAGCGCTGTTGCTAGCATTACCACCATTGATGTACCTCCTCCAAGTCCGGTTAGAGAAGATTCTCAACCCCTACCCATTCCCCCACCAACCAGAATCTACGCAAGAAAGACCTGTAAGGGAACAGTCATCCATGGAGTGACTAAAACAAAGTCCTCCAAGGGAAAGAAGCAGGAGGTAATCGACCTTACCCTTGATCCCTCCATGTCCACCATTACTATGAAACAACCCAACCTCTCTGCAGACAATTTCATCTGTCACCAGTGCAAAGCACTTGGACACCGCCATAAGAACTGTCCGCAATACCACTGCCACGTATGCCAGGCCCAAGTGCCAGGTCATTTTTCTATCTACTGTCCATACACTCCGAAGAAGGAGCAATTTCCGTTGGTCTACACCGACGAGGGATTTTATGACGCCCTGGCTGAATGGGAAGCCAGGGAGGACCAGAAGCTTGATGAGGAACTAGAGCGTGCTCATCATGAATATACGGTGATGCGGGGATGCACCAAAGAAAACAACATCCAATTTCATAATGCCGAAGCCGACCCTTGCTACTATGATAACATGGACAGTTAAAGTCATAGTCGGTGACTTTGACCATAACAACGGGGTAATGTTACAATAACATTTATGCTCCTATTCATTTTTTCACCACTTACCTAAGCGGGCTGTCCGCGCTATGTTTGCTATCTCTTATCTTCCATCAAACGGGCTGTCCATACTATGTTTGCTATCCGTCATCTCTTATCAAGCGGGCTGTCCACCTTCTATCTCCTTATCTTGATAACCATTTACAAGCTCCGCTTGAACATTCACTATATAGACATGTAGTCCATCGATTGTACTCTTTACTTTAATCTACTGGGTTTTACCTGGAACTTGTCCTTTAGTAAGGTCTCCAACCTTACTATCTAAAGAACTACTATTCTAAGGGAGTCACCTACACTCGCCTTAGCCAGAAACCTTGATCTCTCATCTGAGAGAAGAACCACGTCCATCTTGCTGTTTAGCAGATCGTCCGTTCGGACTTAGATGGCTCAACTTATTCCAGTTGTATGGAAGACAGGACTGCCACGCTCCGTTACATAGCGTGACCACACTCATATCAGGCAGGTGTGATGCAGGGACTCCATGCACCTCTAGTGTCATCTACTATACTATTGCAACAATGTCACCTGACCAGAAAATGTGGCATTTTGTCCTCGACAGATTATGTAAGTCGAGGAAAAAGTGCCACATTTTGCCAGTCATGTGACAGTATCACATGGGAAGTTGGTTGGTTTGTATCATGAATTCATGAAGCACGCCAAAAGGGTTCATTGCAAATTGCAAACAATATATGCAAATTTTAAACACGACTGAGGGGCATAGCCACATGTCACTGCTAGTTCAACTAACACAAAAAAGACAAACTCTACACTAAGTTAAGTCACCAATCAAATGTTTTGTCGTTGTCCTCCTCATCAGAGAATCCTGCAATAACTAATGCCTCTTCCTCTATGATTGGGGCTGTAGGCAGTAAGTGTGCACCTGGTTCGTCCAACTCAGCCAGTTCATCCAGCTGGTGATGATCAGATGCATCTAATGTGCGGTAATTTAGTGCAAACTTGATTCAAACAGAGAAAACGTACCAAGACCTTGTCCGCCGTGAATGCCACCCATATAGTAAGCACCATCAGTATCCTCGTGAAAAAAAAGGTCATTTTGGTTTTCGAGGAGAGGCAAAGGCTCTTCATCTGGGTCAGTGCCATCTGTAAGAGACCTGACAACAGCTGGCACCTGCACAGAGCGCTGCATCAAATCATACAAATCTAAGTAGACCGTCCACACAGACTGACAAGTGATTGTAGGACGGCCTAGGTCTTCATAACAGCCTTGAATGAAGTTGTTGAGGGCTCGGGGAACCAAATCGAAGACCGGATGATCAGGGTTCACATAGAGACAGCGGACATAGTCTATATCGTCTTGTTTGACTGTTACCTAGAATAATAAGCCAGTTAGTGTGACAACACGGTTCAAGTAGTATTTGAATGAAGCGCACCTTAAAGTTCAAGGCCCCAAAATCTTCTGGAGACTCGTATATTAGATTAGGTACACCGTGTGGAAGCACCTAGATTGTAAGCGCTAAACAAATGTAAATGACTACTATCAAACAATCAAATACCTTGTTATGATCTGGCCTCTTGAGGGTGTTATTAACGCAGTCCTGATACCTATCTAGCTCACACTGAAGCCATGGAATAAAAATCCAGCGGAAGATCATGCTAAATACACTGCTGTGAGCAAAGTCGAAATGGTGGAAAGCCAGGCCCAAAGTCACTTACACCTGAAGGGTGTTATCGCTATCATACCAGCCGTTCTCCACTCCTTCATCCAAGAGTGTTTCAAAACCAGGAGTAAACCGGCGCGGCAACTGAGACCAAGTGATCTCCGGTTTAACATTCTTCTTGGTCCACATCCAGCGGTGTTGTAATGTACCTTGCAGTGCCGGATCATACATTTGATGAAGCATAGTGTGTGCATTGGCGATTCCATAGTTTTCAGTGCCGGGATCACTCTGAGTCACTAGTGGCATATCTGTCATACCCAGGCAAGGCAACTTAAATGAGTAACAGTGCAATAGATAGTTATTAAAATGAACTTACAACCCAGTTTCTGGATGGTCTCAAGATAGTACAGTGGCTCAAAAAAGTGTCTCAATGTTTCTGACTTTTCATGTAATTGCTTTAGTATGAGCCAGGGTGTGGGAATATGACTATGCTGTAGGGAGGTGTCATAATGCTATACTTCTCAGCCTCATTTATGCTCCCTGTAGCGTGGGAATCTGATGTCATCATGTGCAGATATGGCTATTTGAATTTGGTGACTCATTGAGACACTTTTTTGACTTTCAGTTTGATCAACACAATCTCTATAATTATGATACTTTATGTGACCTCCTGTTGCTCTAATCACTTCTGCCACTCCTCTAGCCATGCTATCTATCAATTTTGAATATTTCTTCTTAGTACTCCTTTCTCACTCTGCTGTAACTCTGTCCTACAGCTGAAATAGCCCCTATGATGAATTTTGATAGGCTGCAAGCAATTTCTTAGATATTTTTCAGTAATATTCAATAGGGCTAATGTATGGGGACTGTGCTAGACATGATAGAACATTGATATTATGGTCTTTGAGCTGCTAGTGACTGACTTGAAATCTTACTTCACATGAATGAAGATCTCACATTTACCATATTCTAACTGGGCAGGCTGCTAATGCTACTCAGGCCACCTAATTCATCAATTCATCATCTCCAGCACTGTTTCCACTCAAACCATCAACAATACTTGCAAGGCAACAAATATTAAAGTTACAATCAATCAGAAGAGGATTCTCCTATCCCTAGCCTATAGAAATAGGAAGTAAACTTCAGCTTTAAAGACCAGTACTGGACTGAAAGAGGACTGGAAGAGAATTATATTATGAGATAAGACCAAGATAAATATAATGAAGTCAGATGGCTGGGAATACATCCATAAAATGACAGGTGAACCACTAAAAGAAAAAAAATTGTGTAAACTCTCAAGTGTGGAGTAACAAACATAGAGGTATAGAGCTATATGAGATGTAATAGAGTGTATATTCTCTGTGTGAAGTGAAGTGAAGAACTAATACAGAGTGGTACATCTCTATTTTAGATGAGAGTCTGCTAAGAAGCATACAGAAATCATATATTAATGAGGAAGATACCATGTTGCAATAAAATAATGATCCTAAGTATATGTCCAAGTCAGTCACTAGCAGCTCAAAGACCATAATATCAATGTTCTATCATGTCTAGCACAGTCCCCATACATTAGCCCTATTGAATATTACTGAAAAATATCTAAGAAATTGCTTGCAGCCTATCAAAATTCATCATAGGGGCTATTTCAGCTGTAGGACAGAGTTGCAGCAGAGTGAGAAAGGAGTACTAAGAAGAAATATTCAAAATTGATAGATAGCATGGCTAGAGGAGTGGCAGAAGTGATTAGAGCAACAGGAGGTCACATAAAGTATCATAATTATAGAGATTGTGTTGATCAAACTGAAAGTCAAAAAAGTGTCTCAATGAGTCACCAAATTCAAATAGCCATATCTGCACATGATGACATCAGATTCCCACGCTACAGGGAGCATAAATGAGGCTGAGAAGTATAGCATTATGACACCTCCCTACAGCATAGTCATATTCCCACACCCTGGCTCATACTAAAGCAATTACATGAAAAGTCAGAAACATTGAGACACTTTTTTGAGCCACTGTAAGTGAGAATGAGCTGGGGGTTGCGGTTGGAATGCCACACTCGGATCCACATGATGCGACCTGAGAATGGCTCCACTCCAGTGTGCAATGCAAGACCGAATCGAAGCCACTTATCATGTTGATCAACAGCAAATAGGTCGTTGATGCCGGCAGCCCAGAACTGCCTCTGCTTGAGACGGCGAGCTTTTCGCTGATGTACGAGGTCAGCTTCATAGATGGCACAGTATGCTATCACTAAATTTCTATTTGATAGCTAGTCAGATACAGATCAACGTCGAACAAATTAAGTACCTTGAAACACTCATTTCTTTCTCGTGAAATAGCAAAATCACCATTTCCCGCGCACCAGCATTTGGGTATGCCTTGCGAAGCTTGATCATGGCTTCACGGATAGATTCGATGGTGTGGCTCTGCTGGCGGGTATGCAGGAGACCCATGTCATTGTGGATCTCTCTGAACTTCGTGTATCTACACACAAAGATCAGGAAGATAGTATCAATTAGTGGAAATCGACTCACCCTAGTCCATAACGAGACATGTCGAAATGATTCTGCAAGTTTTCTACGATCTTCCTGTCTGTTTGACGCGCTTTCCAGTACTGAAGGATGTGAGGAGCAATCACCTCAAGAGGTGCTGATATTGCAAGTCATGTTAGCCTTGTAATCACAATACATAGAGAGGTGCATATGGGTTTGTTTGTTTTGGTTGGGCATAGTAGTTTGAATGACGGTCACCATGATAGCCGCACTTTAAAAGCTTCAATGGCAAGTGCTGATAGCAATAAGCGGAATAGGTGCACTGGTCAGCAGAATAGGAACACCAAGATAAGAGTGGAGCCAGCAGAATAGGCGCACTGAACACCAACTTGAACACCACTGGCAAGATAAGAGTTAGCCAAATGAACACCAAGATAAGAGTGGAGCCAGCGGAATAGGTGCACTGAGCACCAACTTGAACACCAAGATAAGATTTAGCTGAATGAACACCAGGTTGAATGCGACTGCACCGATAGAGTTGCAGCCTGAGGTTGAATGCGACAAATGGCTAGACTTGAAAGGTCAGTACAATTGAATAAAGTCCGCCATGATAAGTCTGATGTGGAGACTTTCGGATACACTGTGGCAGATAACTTTAATATGTTGAATCTGTGTGCTGTTTCGACCACATGGTGAATCTGTGCATCATTTTGACCGTTGACCTGCACCAAACCGGTTCGGTGCATGGACGACCAATACTCTCTCATGAGTCAAATACCCTGAAATACCACTATGAAACCCTTTTCCCTTTTATCTGAAGTTGGACTGAGGCTAAGGGAATATTTTTTGCTTTTCTTTTTATTTTTTCAAGTTTATATGCCAGCAGCCTGAATATTTTAGTACATTTAATTCTGCGATGAGTTTTGCTTAGTCAGCCATGGTGATGACCCAGACAAAATCCCACACATGTCAGGTGACTGTGAAAAATATTTCCCACATATGTTGTCCTGGAAAAACATTAGTAAACCCCTAAATACTAGGCTCGCATCATTCTCACCCTTCAAACAAAGCAAAGCAAAGACAGCCACGCACAGGATTCATATCATGTGACACTTCTTACTCTCCTTCTGGATTTGTCATCAGGGGTTGGACAGGTCACATGACTTAGCAAATACCCAATGACTCACTATGACTCCCTCTGAATATATGACTCACTATGACTCACTCTAGATACTTACTATGACTCACTATGACTCACCTTGCACATATGACTCATTATGACTCTTGATGACTCTTGAATACACTAGTAGCACAGCCACATTTATTGTGTATATAATGACCTCAGTTTTTGAAATAAAAAAAGCAGATACCAGCAGGTAGTAGGGTGTTTCTCAGCCCAACTAACACTAAGTTGTGAAGTAAGGTGTGATAAGTGTCAGTACCAGTGTCAAGAACTGTTTCAAGACTGAGAGGAACACTCTCAAGAGACAGTAATACTGCAAGCTCATCATACTGAACGACCCGCTGTGAGCTCACTGTGTGCAACAACCAGCAAGCAAGGTACAGCCACACTTTTATTCTGATTTCTATTATTCTTTTTCTTTTCTTTTACTTTCACTGACCTTTGGTGTTCTTTGTCCAAAAATACTGATCCAAAATATTCGTGTTGTCTCTACGTCCACCTAAGACTCAGTAGTAGCATAGTGGGGAGACTTTAGGAATTGATAGTGAAGCTTGACCTCACTCATCTGAGTAGCGATACTGAGCCAAGATATTCTGTGCCTGCTAGGCTTTAGCCGTTGAAGAGGGGACTTGGTAGTAAACCCAAGGACGTCCGTTCCTGAGTCTGTTTGAATACTCAAAGAAGAGTTCCTTGACAGCAGGTTCAATATTGAGCTAAGAGTTCTACAATAAAGCATCTGATTAGTCTTGACCTTTGATTCTACCTGTTTTGTGCTGAGGGAGTTTATCATTGTAATTCCGCACCATTTCTTTTGGAGTATAGTTGGCACGAGGCACTGTTGTTGAAAGGGAATTTGAGGAAGAAACCCGTATATTCTTTTGGTCATCGCCATACTGTCGGGCTGACCATTGTTTGTTTGTTTTCCTGTCAAAGTCCATAGATTGGATTGACCATCGTATTACTGATCTTGCAGAAGTATCCTTAGCTGAACATACCTTGGATAGTATACAACTAGCCACCCACGAACGACCACGTTATCAGTCATTGGTATTTGTCTGAATCGCTGACCGTGGAGATATTTGTTTTATAGGTGTTTATCTATAGATCATCTATCTAAGAAGACACCGTGATCATGGTGACTCACATGTTGCGCACAATGATCCAACTCACTGAAGAATTTGCTGACTCTCGACTTAGATGCAACTCAGTACTGCGGGATATCAATGACCCTCCACTTACTAGATGCAACTCTTCAGAGCGGTGAGTTTTTCCAAACAGTCTTTATATAAAGCCTGTCTCTGAAGTGTTGTATGGCCACTGTTATATTCCTTCAATTCCTTCAACTCATCACACAAGCACCTACTAGCATCATGGAACTCGTCTCTCAGTTTACCGAAGATGCTGTTGCCAAGGAGGACTGTGTCTGTGGTTGACCTGCTTGCCGTGGCATAATACTCAAAGGCGCTCCATGCTATTATGTTGCCACCATTGTGCCTGGCCAACCTGGTCGCTTCGTTTGTGAAGCATGTTACTTGCGATACTCACAGAAGCTTTCAACTTCAGTCCGACCCTCTTCAGTCCGCCCTTCTTGTAAGTACACTTGAAACCCCTATATAGCTTTTGATCAATGACACTATTAATTACATCCAGCCACACAATCACAGTTACTTCCAAATCCTCATATCATACGCCAGACCATGAATGCAGCACAACGCAAGTGTAAGTCAAATTTCTCTATTACATATCAAACATGTCTGAATGGCGAAAGTCAATAGCAACTATCAATCCACCCCGTGTAGTACCCTTCTTGTCTCAGCCCTCCAGTAGCAGTGCGCACATAGGCCGCATTTCAGGCCCAGATATCGCTGTGCCTCTATCATGGCAACAATTGCCAGCTAGTTCCAACCCGAACATGGTATCTGGTGCTGCAGGGTATTCTGTGCACCATGCTCAGTATGGTCTGGAGCGTGAACGATGGGCTAAACTGGCATATGCTCCGCCCCCTGCAGAGACCATCACATTAGAGATATCAGCTGTATACGAGGGAAATTCACGGAAGAAAAGTGGGTGTGGCATCAACTTTGGGGTACATTTGTTTTTCTTTCTATCTCTCCAGGTTGCTGTTTTTCTGATGCTCATAAATCAGAATATTTGTGAAGGAAAGAAGGACATCGATGCTCGCTTGGACGCCCCTGGGCTTATACAAATCACTTTAGATACTATTCTACCGAAAATCCTCACATTTGGAAGGGGATTTCCTTGGTGCACAGAAGAATTTGTTGTCCGGGATGCTACCTGGGTTGACCTATCTAGACATTTGCCTGCCATTCCGTACTTCTTAGCTCAGTGCTTAGTCCAATCTCAATGCGGACCAAAGACGACAACTTTCAAGACCAAGCAATTCTTACTCATGGTTGTTGTACCTGCAGCGCAGTGGAGTGAGTATGAGGCATGGCTGGATAAAACTGAAGAAGAAGTAAGATTCCGCTCATTCAATGTATTGTCACTCTGCTAACTCGTAGATTTCTCAGAATATCTTGCGTGAACAGCTCCAACGACACAGATCTATCATTACTGTTACTGAAGAACGAGACCCACGAACTTCTGGCACCAACTCAGAAGACCCATGGGCCACACAACAAGAGGATGAAGGCCCATTTGGTCTTGACTTCAAAGGACCAGATGCCTTATCTACTGTGTGACGTAATTCCACTGTTACTGACAGCTCAGCACATAATCCGACACGTCCATCAGCAAAGCGGGCTCATGTTCGCAGAGAGAGCGACTCCACAAATAGTACTGTGTCACCTCCTCGCAAGAAGCCAGCACCTGGTGTATTCCACCTTCCTGATTGTAATGATTTGAAAGAGGCCTTGAAAAGTGGAGGTAGTGTAGATGCTGTGCGTGCACCTAAAGGTGTTACGCACTCAAATAGATCTGTTATGCGGAGCCCTAAGAGGGGCGTCGTCCGCTAACATTCGTGATGTAACCGGAAGGGTCCGGTATGGCGACTGAGACTGGCGACGACGAGTCGGAAGATATCAGAGACGCGCGTGTCACGTGACTTCTAAGACAGATGTCTTTGAAGTTACTGATGTTCTCAAGGTGAGGACAGTCTTGTCCAAACAATGAGTAGTCGGTCGAGGTAGACTTAGTTGCGATGAGCACCTAAGAAAAGATACTAGAGACTGAAGCTGAGGGGGCTTCAGAAAGAAGTATGTTCGAGGGAAGATTGAGTAGATTCAAGTTAGGGAATCTAGTACAGGGTGACCGACTACTTATACTAAGTGGAAAGGGTTAAGGGCAAGGCTACCGTACTGTAGGTAAGGGCAAAGGGGAAACGGAAAGGGTATAGGTACGCTGGTGGCAGAGCCTGATTAGTGATGTGAGGTTGAATGCGGAATGAGACCGAGAAACATTGGAACGGTGTAGAGACTAATATCTCTGTGGCCTTGCAGGGGTCTAAAATCCCATTCTTACTACCACTTCCTCACATAGCGCGACTCATACCTCACGCAGCGCGCCCCCGCGCTTTGTCGGCCGCTCGCAAGCGCCAGCGCTCCGGTCGCTTCTTAGTCGCGCATCGGCGCGCACATCCTTGGTTCCGTCGCACGTCCTCCGTCCATCCATTCCATGTCCGTTCGGTTCGTCGGTGCGTATTCCGATTCTATTTTCATTGATTTAACATATCTCCGGCGCTTATGGTCATATTTCGTATGTTTCCGTTATGAACCCTTATTACATATTATCTCGTGTCCGCTTCGCTTCTCGGCTCGCTTTAGCGCTTGACAGCGCTTATCATTACTTAGTATATATAGACGTACATAAACTGTGTAAGGGTATCTTTTCCTGCCCACACGTCGTTGGACTATAAGTCTAAAGTTATCCTCTAAAAACTAGAAAGGGTATCAAAGTACAATACGAGCGCCGTCGCCGTACTCTACTAGAAACTCTGTCAAATTAGTATTCTGACTCATTAAGAGTCGCTGCGCTCTATCACCCCCGCGCGCATCGCTTCTGCTTAAAGCGCGCGCTTCCGTATAAGTCGCGCACCGATATCTGTCGTCGGCCGCTATCGCTCATCGGCGCCTCACGTCGCTTTCGTTCGCTCGCGCTTCGCTCATTGTCGCGCGCCTAACCAGGCTTGACCAAGCGCCCGGTTCAGTGTTTCCCTCCGTTTATACACCTAGAGGAACCTTCTCAGTAGCAATCCCCTTGGGCCGACGTATATCTCACTCACCGAGGACTACTTGAGTTATCTCACACCACCTATTTTCACCCACTTCCCATTCCTCTTCTACAGCGCGCAATGGCGCGCAAGTCTGCGAGCGCGTAGCGCCTTTTACCATCCCATCCAGGATACATTACCTTCACTTCTGCCATGAATGCATCATAATCATCTACTGCCGCTTCAGGCATGCCTCCCCATAGTTCTCGATCATCGCGCTCAAGGTAGCGAATAATACCTTTGATGCGGTTGAGTCCTTGGAGTCCTGCATCATCAGCGAGCTGCTCATAGGTGTCAATAAACTCGGCGAGGTTGTCTGTAGTGCCATCGAACTTGGGCGCGTTTGCTGTGCCACGGTGTAGAGACTCGTGCATCTCATAGTGTGATATGGCGCTTTACACTAGGGAGTATACAGCACCAACTCGCAGCATCACTCTGTGTACCATCCACAGTGATTCCTATATGACGCGCAGCTTTCCCGTGCAACGCGCGCCATGCGCGCACCATTCCCGCGCTTCACGATGTATACGCGCGCGCGCGTTCCCGCGCTTGCGCGCCCTATAGCGCCAGCCATCCAGATGCATCCATCCACTGTCCACCAAGCTCCCTATTTCTCACTCATATATATTTTTACATACCTACTCGGTAGCGCTTCGGCTCCGCATGAGCGCGCTTAGGCGCGCTATATAAGCGCCAGCAGTACATACTATTACAAACCTACTTTTCCCTGGAACTTACTAGTTATCACCCACTATTTACTTAGCAGTACATAGTAGAAGTCTATTGGTCTACACTTTGCATCTATCTTTTCTTATATTGCTTTATATCATCACTTAAGCTTAGTCTCTTTTATTTCCGCTTACGCGCGCGCGCTTTCCCGCGCTTCGCGCTAATACGCGCGCGCGTTCCCGCGCCTTCGTACCTTGCGCGCACTTGCGCTTTCTCACGCTTCGCTGAAGCGCGTACCTCTAGATCTTCGCAGCACTCGCTTCCCCTAGGGTCGAACGCACTTGTCTCCTCAAGAATAGCAGACTAGGTAACGCGCGACCTCACAACGTTTTATAGATACAGTTAGGAGCATCCTTGTTCCTCATTGTATAGTTGTTTCTACAACTGGAGCCCACCGCGAGGGGAGCAGTCAGCAAGATCTACTTTTGCGCATCTTCGCACTTCACGCTATTTTAACGCATAAAGGTCAATCTCTTTGCATATTCAAAAGCTAACCAATTTCTAGTCACGCATTCTCGCGCCTTGTGCGCGCGCTTTCCCACCCCTGTGCGCCTTGCGCGCGCACCTTTCACGCGCTTCAATGCCCTTCAGAATGCCCATCCGTGGCACAGCAAACGCGCCCAAGTTCGATGGCACTACAGACAACCTTGCCGAGTTTATTGACACCTATGAGCAGCTCGCTGATGATGCAGGACTCCAAGGACTCGACCGCATCAAAGGTATTATCCGCTACCTTGAGCGCGACGATCGAGAACTATGGGGCGGAATGCCCGAGGCGCAAGTAAGCGATTACGACGCCTTCTTAGATGAGGTGAAGGTAATGTATCCTGGATGGGACGGTAAAAGGCGCTACGCGCTCGCAGACTTGCGCGCCATCGCGCGCGAATACGCTAACAAACCAATGCCCTCTTGCACAGAACTCAGCAATTACCTGCGCGCATTCAGGAAGATTATGCAGCCACTCATGGATGAAGACCGTATTGGAAAGGCCGAACGCGACCGCTTATTCATGGAAGGAATCCCTAGCGATGCTCAGGCGCAAATCCGCTTGCGCCTTATGATCAAGTTCCCCGACCACCACCCATACGACCCATACCCATTCATGGACGTCTTCGCAGCTGCGCAGTTCCTATTACCTGCGCGCGCTTTTCCCGCGCCAAGCGCACCAGTAAGCGCACCAGTTAGCGCGCCTGTGGTAGCGCCAAGCACACCAGTGCAAGCTAAGGTAGCTAAGTACAAAGATCGCTACCACGCGCGTCGCGCAACGCAGGATACGACCATTAGCGCTAATGCAACAGCTGGACTCTTCTATCGCGCACCCTCAGATGTTGTACTTGACAGAAAGCCACCAGTTCCTATTCACGTGCCTCGCGCGCGCGCCTTTCCCGCGCCTACGCGCGATTCACGCGCACCTCAAGCATCAACTGCGCCAGCATGCAAAGCTATATCAGACTGCATTACTTTAGATCACGAACTCGAACGCGCGCTCGCAAAGCGCGCTGCAGGCGCCTCTTCACTATCATCCTCAGCAGCATCATCTCCTTCACAATCCGCATCATCTCCATCACCATCAATCGCATCAGAAGTCAGGGATGACTCTAATCATCTATTGCACACTAACGCGCCAGTTGAAACACGCGCGCCTATTGCTATCGCATCGCGCGTGTCTATCGCTATCGCATCGCGCGCGCCTATTGCTATCACCTCGCCATTAGTCAGGGATGACTCTAATCATCTATTGCACACTAATGCACCGCTAGAAACATGCTCGCCCCTCGCTATCGCAACACTTAAGGAAGAAATCTCGCCAATCATGCCATCACCATCACCGCTACCACCGCTTGCATCATCAGAGGTCAGGGATGACCCCAAACATCCATTGCACCTTGGCGCGCCTATAGAGGAGCCTTCTGCCGCATCAGAGGCTCAAGTCGCACCTTGCATCAACCAGAGTTTGTCTCTGGAAATTCCAGATGTCACTCGCGATCACGCGCACATCGCACTTTTTGCTTCCAGTGACTATCGCATGCCGGTAAAGCATCCGTGCATCACGCCATCTAACCACCAAGCAGAGCATGTCTCAGGCGACCCTGGCGCGACTCAGGCGCACCATATTGCGCCTGAGGACGCGCAATGCGCGCGCCTAGAGGCACGGTATATTTTTCCTCATCTTGTTTCGCATTTTTTGTCTTTTTCATGTTTGAAGCTCTTAAGGAGCTATATGACGCTTCCAAACACTGTAATTTCATTTTCGCACCACCCCTTGTTCACGCGCCATGATCGCGCGCATCACGCAATATGTGCGCGCATTCCTGCGCCTCGTGCTTTCATAATTTTAGCAGAGTTTTCACGCTACCGCATTTCTATCGCTTCTCCCCTTCTAAATCGTATTTCTATCATTCAACACAAGGTATATTCCAATCAGACATCCAGGCGCGACATAGGCGCGCGCCTGACACATACATATGCGCCTAACCCCCCTATCATCACCTTTAACTTCGCACTTCGCACATTTATTCGCATTCTTCGCACTTTTGCTTACCATGTCAATTTCATTCCTGTGCGCCTTGATGCGCACTATTCTCCTTCACCTATGCGCCTATTGCGCCTTGATATACCACCCTTACAGCCCATTGGCGCAACATTTGCGCCTAATACTTCACTATATACATTTCTCACTAACACATTTACAGAGAAGTGGCCGTTCCTCGCGTGTTCGGCCAATATAATCAAATTCGCGCGAAATCGCACCAAGGCGCGCGCATCGCGCGCATCCTATCAGCTTGTAGGGTGCCCCTACACCCCTTGCAGCGCCTTCCATTGGCGCGCCTTCAACCTGCAGCGCGTTGTGCAGGAATTCATTCTGCCAGTCACAAGCCCACCCAAGCACGCCAGCCTCACACATTCCAACCCTACCTTGGGTAACGCGTTAGCTCGCAAGAGACGCGAAGTGCGCTATTACGCGCACTCGCACGCACTCAAGGAGGAGGATCAAGCGCCTCAGCTGCGCATCAAAGAACAACGTATACCATCGCTGTTTCATAGGATACCATTCGTTTTACCCTGGGTTTCGTCCAGCGCTCTTTCATTTTATTTTCTCTCATTATAACGCCATCCAAAGAACTAATAACTTACTGATATATATGCACATAGGAGTCGCCAAAAACAAGAAAACAACCTTAGATTGTGCCCGCGTAGCTCAATAGTATTATTTTCTCTTCGCACGCATGACGCGGCACCATGCCCTTTTTACCTTAGAACGCGCACATATGCGCGCAGTCTTCCCACGCTCACGCGCACATACGCGCGCAATATTCACGCGCCCATACGCCTCGCGCGCGCACACATGCGCGCTTCCTGCGCCTCACTCATAGGAAGGTGTAGATGTCGACAGCCGCACGAAGAAGACAAGTCGGATAGGACATCCGCAAAGTTTACCATTTTTTCCTTCGCATTTTCACATATAGTTTTACTCACACTGTTCAAACCTTACCACCTAATATTTAGCGCGCCTAGCAGGACTTGGTTTGGACTTGGATTGGATCGCTCTTGGACCGCACCACTTCGCATCATACGCACAATACAACACATGCGACACTCACGCGCTTTCTCGCGCCTTGCGCGCGCGCACTTTCTCGCGCTTTATGCCATATGCGCGCCACATCCATATCACTCTCACATCATCGCCTCACACCCAGGGAACACTATTCACACCAGAGTCACCCTTGCAATTTGCCATGCTACGCTTCATTCCCGCGCCTTCACGCATAGCGCGCGCACATTCTCGCGCCTTGCGCGTACCATGCGCGCAACTTCCCACGCTTCACGCACATCCACGCAATAATTCCTGCACTTGCGCATTCATCGCCCAACGACCCAAGCATCATACAGGCATCGCGCACACATACTCTCACGCAAAATCCTCACCATGCGCGCGCTGAGTGGGGACACTCAGAATTTAAGTCCCTGGGAGATGTAGAGACTCGTGCATCTCATAGTGTGATATGGCGCTTTACACTAGGGAGTATACAGCACCAACTCGCAGCATCACTCTGTGTACCATCCACAGTGATTCCTATATGACACGCAGCTTTCCCGCGCAACGCGCGCCATGCGCGCACCATTCCCGCGCTTCACGATGTATACGCGCGCGCGCGTTCCCGCGCTTGCGCGCCCTATAGCGCCAGCCATCCAGATGCATCCATCCACTGTCCACCAAGCTCCCTATTTCTCACTCATATATATTTTTACATACCTACTCGGTAGCGCTTCGGCTCCGCATGAGCGCGCTTAGGCGCGCTATATAAGCGCCAGCAGTACATACTATTACAAACCTACTTTTCCCTGGAACTTACTAGTTATCACCCACTATTTACTTAGCAGTACATAGTAGAAGTCTATTGGTCTACACTTTGCATCTATCTTTTCTTATATTGCTTTATATCATCACTTAAGCTTAGTCTCTTTTATTTCCGCTTACGCGCGCGCGCTTTCCCGCGCTTCGCGCTAATACGCGCGCGCGTTCCCGCGCCTTCGTACCTTGCGCGCACTTGCGCTTTCTCACGCTTCGCTGAAGCGCGTACCTCTAGATCTTCGCAGCACTCGCTTCCCCTAGGGTCGAACGCACTTGTCTCCTCAAGAATAGCAGACTAGGTAACGCGCGACCTCACAACGTTTTATAGATACAGTTAGGAGCATCCTTGTTCCTCATTGTATAGTTGTTTCTACAACGGATGGGCATTCTATAAGGCATTGCAGCGTGAAAAAGCGCAGGCGCGCGCGAGGCATATAACAGGTGCGCGCATGAGGCGCAAAGGCGTGGGAAAGCGCGCGCACAAGGCGCGAGAATGCGTGACTAGAAATTGGTTAGCTTTTGAAATACAAAGAGATTGACCTTTATGCGTTAAATAGTGTGAAGTGCAAGAAAGGTGCGCGCGCGAGGCGCACAGGCGTGGGAATATTGCGCGCACGCAAGGCGCGAGAATGCGTGACTAGAAAATGATTAGCTTTTGAAATGCAAAGATATTGACCTGTATGCGCGAAATGCGCGGAACTAGATCTTGCTGACTGCTCCCCTTGCGGTGGGCTCCGGTTGTAGAAACAACAATACTGAGTGGAACAAATGATGCTCCTGACAGTATCTATAAAAAGTTGTGAGGTCACGCGTTGCCTAGTCTGCGTTACTTGAGGAGACAAGTGCGTTCGACCCTAGGGGAAGCAAGTGCTGCGAAGATCTAGAGGTACGCGCTTCAGCGAAGCGCGAGAAAGCGCAGGTGCGCGCAAGGCGCGGGAACACACGCGCGTATTAGCGCGAAGCGTGGGAAAGCGCGCGCGCATATGCAGAAATGATAGATAGACTAGACTTAAGTGATAATATGATGCAAGAGATGTGAGAGCGCAAGATCTAAAGGAATAGGTTTCTACTATGTTCTCCTAAGTAGTAAGTAAGTAGTAATAAGTAAATGGGAGGTAAAGTAAGGTAAAGTGTAGTATGTACTGCTGGCGCTTATATAGTGCGCCTAAGCGCGGTCATGCGGAGCCGAAGCGCTACCGAGTAGGTATGTAAAAATATATATGAGTGAGAAACTATGATAAAAATAAAGGTGGAACTATGCTAATAAAGGAAATGGAAATATACATACTAGGGAGCTTGGTGGACAGTGGATGGATGCATCTGAATGGCTGGCGCTATAGGGCGCGCATACATCATGAAGCGCGGGAATGGCGCGCGTTGCGCGGGAAAGCTGCGCCTCATATAGAGATAGCTGCGGGTAGCGCACAGAGTGACACTACAAGTTCATGCTATGTACTTCCTAGTGTAAAGCTGTCATATCAGACCATGAGACACACGAGTCTCTACAGCGGGCATTGCTTTGGCGTTTTCTCGACACTTGTCAAACACTCAGGGCACCTCCGAACAAGCTCCCATGACAGACATTAAGGCGGGGATATTTTCGGCGGTTTATCTCCTTGAGGAGCAGGTGACGTCTGGTACTCCTAATGATCAGACATTCATGAAGTTCATCCACAACAAGGACTACGGACCTTCACTTGATGAGGACGAATACAGCTATGACCTAGCCATCTTTCTCTTGTTTACTCAGCACATCCAGTATGAAAAGACAGAGGGTCTGGCGTTCATTTCTGATTATCAAGGCAGCACCGAGCTTCTGACTGATCCTCAGATTTTGACCCACTGGTATGTGCATTTTCAGCTACTATGGTTGGTGACCTTTGTTAACTGGTGTTGCTTCTCTAGCTCAGTCAATGAAGGAATTGATCTTTTCGGTGACGGGAACATTGCAAGTGTGGTGGACAACTTTAAGGCAAGGCACCTCTGTAACCACTATTGCAAGTGGCCAGGATTTGAGTTGGAAGTATATGCTTAGGAGAGTTACTTATTTTGATGAGTTATGATGGACCTTGTAATCCCAGCGCTGCCAGGCAGAGACACTTTCAAGTTGGAAAGAACACTTATAAATAACTTATTTATTTGAGATTGAAGTGCACGGAGTCCTATTGCCTTATATGTGATTGTGACATGACTAAGTGAGCGCGGCAGTCCTGTCTTCCATACAGTTGTAACAGCACATCAAAGTCATCCTCTGAGTCCAGCCCAACATAAACAGCAAGATTGTTCTCCCCTCCTGCATGGGAAAATATCTGCAGGAGGCTGGCTCTTTGATCAACCAACAGATTCCCATCTACACTGCGCATAATTGCCAGGCCACAGGAGATCATGGTTGGTACAACAGGAGCTGGCGGGTCAGGCGGAGGGGCCATGTTTTTCTCGATCATGTCAGTCAGGTGATTAATACTACCTTGCATATTCATCACTGCAGCCGCTGGAGTGATCTTTGTGGTGATCTTGGCAGCACTGCTCACGCCCGTGTGTGTGCTGCTGGCATGTGTCAAGACTCAAGCCTTCTTGAAGGCAGGTACCTGGGATGATGGTGGAGTGGCCTAAACCTCTCTCGATGGGACAGATAGAAAGACATGGGGTTCTACTCTACTACATCTGAGCTCTATGTCTACACTACAAACACTGCCAAGCACTGGTGAACCTCCACCTACTGCCTGGCCCCTTGCCTAGGGGCCCCCACTCCACATGCCCCCCTTTGAAAACAGCAACACCCTTGTCGCCACACTTCTCTCTACCCGCTGTCTTGCATCTCGTGTCTTTGCTGCTGATTTCCTTGCTCTTTTCCTCCTTCCACTTTGTCTTCTAAGTTTTCCTCATCCTCGTCTATGTCTGTGTTTTTGTCGTCTATATTCTCCGGCCATTCATCTATCTGTCCCTCGGTACGTTCTCTTTCTCTCCTTTCTTGTTCTTCTGCTAATTGGGTACCCAGTCTCAGCATGAAAGCTCTGAGACGATGCGCGTGAAATTCTCCGTTCATTGGTATGCCTGCCAGTGTTTCAAGCTTGTACGAGTTTCATAGTCTCTCTATGATGCGACATGGGGGTGACCAACGTGGTAGAATTTTGTGTTTCGCTTCGAGCGTCGTGTTGAGGTTACTGTGAAAATATTGAACCAATTGTCCTTGTGAAAACAGAACTTCCCTTTGTGACTGTGCAAGGACTCACTTGTCAAACACCGTTTTCTGCTTGAGGGCATGCCTTACTGTGGCATCGTAGCCGTCCAATTGTTGCTGGGCTACATATGCCATATGAATGCTTGTGTCCGTGAGTCGTATTGCCGATGTGCTGTTGGACAAGTCAGTACGTGGGGTGTTGACAACTTGACCTAGTAGTAACTCCTTTGGCAAGAACTTGAGAGCTGGTAGGATGCGATAGTTGAGTGCGGTGACTGCGTCATCCAGGTGATCGGGCCAGCTGTTTGGCAATTTGTCCCATGTTGCGCCGTTGTAGTCATCTTCACCTAGGTCTTGGGCGCATAGGTGTTTCAGTATGTGTAGTAAGATTTTGTTAGTCCCTTCTACAAGGCCGTTGATCCATGGCGCATATGCTGCAATTACGTGTTGTTTGCACGCCCATTTCACACAGAAATCTTTGACTTTGTTATTGTCGAAATGCCGCCCTCCATCTGTCATAAAGGTTTCAGAAGGTATGAAGTTATGAAAAATACTCGATAGGCTATCAATTGTTGTTTTCGCCGTTCCTGCCGTTTTGTATTTGAAGACCCAAACATGTTGGGAGAACGTGTCAAGATAGACACCCAGTGTATGGTAGCCCTTTGCTTTGGGTAAGGTTAGGTAATCTCCTATTAGCAGTTCGAATGGGTGCCTGTGGGTGATTGGTTCTAACAGTGAGTGTAGGTGGGCCACGCCGAAGTTTTTACACTTAGCGCAATTTCCTATAGCTGTCATAATGGACTTGTTGAGTTTGGGGCTGTAAATTCTATCTGTTAGTGCCATTTTTATCGCATCCCTACCCCAGTGTCCACCCTCAACATGCTGCTGTGTTGCTAACACCTTTGCCTCTTCTCTAGTGATACATTTCACCCTGCTCCGAGCTCTTACCGTTGTTCCACCCTTCAATCTCCATAATTTCCCATCTTCGATCATATATTGTGACACCTGGTGTTTTGCTCTTCTACAGTCTCTTAATGGTGCATCTGATCCTATTTCTGCTATCGCTTTTATGACTCCTGTAAAAACTGGTTCGTTAGTGAATCTTTCTAATAGACTTACCGTTATTCCTGGGGTTTCCATCGTTGTCATCAGGATATCATTGGTCAGTCCTGTCACTGCTTCCCAATCCTCACTGACAGTCCAATTGCTCCTGTCTTGCAGATTAGTGTCCCGCGGTTGTCCTTCCCACTGCCTACTTAACCCATCTGCGACTATGTTAAGCTTCCCCGGAATGTGATGAACATCGATGATGTTGTGCGCTAATATGCCATCACACCAACGTGCATGCACTGCATTCAAGTGGTTGTTGATGAGCACGTCTCGTAGTGCTTGACAATCTGTTTCGATTTCCACTGGGAAGCCCCAAACGATATCTGAAAATCTATCTAACCCAAATTTTAGTGCCACAAATTCAAGTAAGAATGGTTTATATTTGTGCTCAGCTGCTGATGTCTGTTTTGAAGCAAACACAATCGGTAGGAGTCTCTCTACGACTTTCCCTGTTCGTTTCTCTGTCCACACCCTCTGTGATAAGACTGCCACAAAGCCCTCTTGACAGCCATCGGAAGTTACTACAAATGGTGAGCCATTGTATCGTGGAGCTTGCAAAATAGGTCTTGATACTAATGCTGTCTTCAGGTCTAAGAAGGCTTTATTATGTTCGTTGCCCCATCGTTCTGCCAACTTGAAATCTCGGAGTGTGCGATGGTACATGGCCTTTGAGTACGGTATTCTTAGCGGCGCTAGTTTCACAAGGTCCCTCAGTGGGCCCTCCCTTTTCGCATATCCTCACACCAGGTCTCTGAAATGGCCCGTGAGTCCTAAAAATGATTCTAAGTTCAGTGTGTCTGCTAGTTTCTCCCAATTACGATAGTGGTTAACTTCTCTAGATCCGGTTGTACTCCTTATGGACCCACTGTGGCTCCTGCGAACATCGTGTTGGTCATAAACAGCCTGCATTTCGAAGGTGATAATGAAAGTTTCTTTTCTCTGCACCATTGGAATATTCGGGTGAGTTTTTCCATCATATCTTGGAACATGTCTGCTGAACATCCTCCATCATTGACAAATAGCTCCATGGTTCCGTCTGCGATCAGATTGTGTAGATGGGTTGCCATCATATCCGTGAATGTGGATGGTGCCCTGGTAAGCCCCATGGACATCTGTTTGTACCAAAACCAACCTCTGCCTTCTACATAGAATGCTGTGAATGGCCATGATTCTTCTAGTACTTCAACCGCATAGAATCTGGATGCGAAGTCGAATACTGAGACATATTTGTGTCTGCTGAGACGCTGCTGCTTGGCTCTGATGTCACCTTGTGGCATTGGGGCTATGATGGTGTGTTGATTAACTTCATTGAAATTCTGACATATTCTCCACTTTTGAGGTCCTTCTGGTTGTTGTGGTGCTCCTGCCTCCTGGACTTCTCATTCAGGGAGCGTGAATGCCGGTGGTAGCCCATCTTGTTGACATTAGATGGTAACTTGTTGTCGTAACTCTTACAGTGTAAGTCCTTGTTGCTCGTGTACTTTCTTTGCTAATATGGTTGTAGCGGCACATTTGATGAGGTCTGGGGGCGCTCTTTCTATGATCCTGGCTGTTAACATTTCGTCTATTCTGCCATGTAAGAACTTGAGTTGCGGTGGCGTGAGAGCTCGCTGATGAACTCTTAGGTTGAATCTTGTGCCTTCTGGTATATTGAGTACGTGCTTTGCACCTGGTACTGGGAGCACCTCCAATAGCGACCCTGCAAAGACGTCCACAAACAATCCTACTAGTGCTTCTGCCTGTTTGCGTTCATCTGCCGTTAGGTTATCGCTGTACTAGACTTTCTTCACGACAAATGTGACTCTTCTCGGGTTCATTGGGTCCATGAGACACGTGAATATGGCTGCTTCGTTTTCTAAGAAGTTAGCCGGTATCTCATTGAGTATTGCTTCCAATGATTCCTTGGGCATGTCGCCATCTTCCGTTAACACACAGATTGGTATTTCTTGTTCTGCAGGCATCGAGTGATCAATCGCGGGGCTTTGTGGATTCTCTTGCGAAGAGGATTGGACTTCCCTTGAGGGGAGTTCGCTACTCCCCACTATGTGTTTCCACTGTCTTATCCTTCCCAAGGTCTGGCCTTTGCACCGTTTAGTGCCTACCTGTCTTGCAGCTTCATGTCCCGCTAGGTGTGTACTGTGTCTGATCTTGTACCTTCGGCATCGTTCACAATATTCTTTGTCTTCATTTTGTGTCGTTTGCATTGACCTGCACCAAACTGGTTTGATGCATGAATAACCAATGCTCTCTCATGAGCCTAAATACCCAAGAAATCATTATGAAACAATTTCTCTCTATTCTGAAGTTACAAGGCAGCTTAGACATTATTCCACTTCACTAGGACTAAGATGGGCTGAATATTTTTGTATATGTAATGTTTGTGATAAAACTTGATTAGTCACCTTCAATGATGACTCAGAATAAATTCCACGCATGTCAGGCAACTATGAAAAATAATTCTCGCATAACTCACTGTGAGAATTCCTTTAAAAACCCTAAAATACACAGCTCACGTCATTTCTACGGGTAACAATGTAACATCAGAACAAAGCACCAACCAACAAAATCTTGAATATTTCTTTTGCATGATATAATCAGCTTATCACATGATCTTTGATCACATGAGACTAAGCCTTATGAATCCTAACAGTCAGGTGACCTATGACCTAACATCAAATTATGACAAAGTCATATCTTGAAATGACTAAGGACTAATGACACAATCATGATACAAATGACTCATGTAAATAGTTACTGGTACAGTCTGAATAAGCCCATCCCTCTTAGGAATGTGGGAAATAGTAGCACAGCCACCACCTTTTGTCTATATAAGACCCCAATTTTTGCTCATAATAATAAGGAGAGGCCCCACTTTAAAAAGCATAGAACTAAGTGTGAAGTGTGATCAGTGTCAGCAACAGTGACAAGAGCTGTGAAGCAACTAACTGAGAGGTCATCATGAACAACAGCCAGCAATACCCTTAAATCATCATCAACTACTGAAGAATACTTTGAGCTCACTGTGCTCAACAGCGAGCAAGCTTTTTCTTTGACTTTCTACTGGTGAATCTTTAGCTTTCTTTCTTTATTTCTTTTTCTGTATTTGTCTTTTTCTTTTCACTTCTCTTAAGTTTAGGTGTTATTGTTCTGAATTTGTTTCGGGATTTTCATGTTGTCTTTACGTTCATCTAAGCAAGAGGCTTAGTGGGAAGACTTCAGGAGTTGATAGTGACGCTTGACCTCACTCATCGGAGTAGTGATACTGAGCCAGGGTTTTCTTTGTCTGCTAGACTTTAGTTGTTGAATAGGGGACTTGGTACTGAAAGCCAAGGACGTCCGTTCCTGATTCTGTTTAATACTCATCGTGAGTTCCTTGGTAGCAGTTTCAATAGTGAACTAAGAGTTCTACTGAGCATTGATTAGTCCTGACCTTTGATTCTACCTATTTGTGCTGAGGGGGTGATTGTTATCACTTCGCACGACTTTCTGTAATAAGTTTATTATGAAAAGCATTGTTACTGAAGGAAAGGTGTCTCTTATCATTTTGTTTTTTTTTCATCAGCACCATACTGTTGGGCTGATTTTCTCTTTGTCTTTAATCACTGCCATACTGTTGGAGTGATTTGCATTTCAGTTCTGACCTCACAGAAGTGCTTTTGTCTGAGCGTAGCTTGGGGAAGTGTAAACAGCCACCCACGAACAACCACGTTATCAGTCATTGGTATTTGTCTGAATTGCTGACCATGGAGATATTTGTTTTTGTAGGTGTTTATCTATAGATCATCTATCTAAGAAGACAGTGTAGGCATTGATGGTTCCTTGTTGCCGGTCTTTGCTTCCTCCCTCTCGACTTGTACAACTTGTTCTTCATCGTGAGTTTCTTCGACTGTCGGATGTGTAGCTTGACTCTGATTATATATTGTCTTGCTGCCTCCGATACCCATGATGTGGACTTCATCTGTTTCATAGTTGTGTATGGCTTTGAAGCTTTGTAACATCGGCTTCCCGAACAAGAAATTCCACCCTCCCGTGCTGTCGAAAACTTCAAATTCCCCTTGCGCTCATATGCCTGTGATCGTGACTTCTCCTTTCCACACCACTAGGGATGGTACTATTGCGCCATTCGCCATTCGTAGTCTCTTGTTTGACGGTCCCCAGTTTCCTAATCTGTGCTTGACTTTCTGGAATACCAAAGTACTCATGGCGCTTATCATTGCACCTTCGTCAAATAAAGCTTTGACCCTAACGATTTCTCCCTGCAGCCCCGTGAACAATATGTTTTGTAGAAAGGGGAGACATTTGGTTCATGATCGTTCTTCATCCATTGAATACAGGTTCACAATGTCATGTTTCTTTATATCAAGATGACTGATGACATAGTTGGTACTGGAAGTAGATTTGGCGAGGTCGTCATATTGGTCCTCGTGTGATTCCTCTTCACACACGAGGACTAATTGTCCGTTACTCTGAGGTCTATCCTGTTGGTGGGTCGTCATGTGGTCCTCTACACCGACGACCTGTTCCCTTTTCCCTGTATCTCTGTTTCTGGTGCATATGCATTATCGAAAACGATGTTGACTTGTGGTGCTAATGCTCGATTATATGTTCCCAGAATTCTTGAGCATATGCCCCTCCAAATTGTCTCATTCTTCATCAGCTGCATATCGTGCGGTACTTGGCATTCCGGGCTTATGTGGCCATGTGTCCCACATCTGAAACACTCCCTGGAACATATTTGCACTGTTCCTGGGGTCAGTGGGAATGGTGTGTGCTCACTACATCTCACTCCATTTCCCCACTTGGCTCTCCATTGCTGGAGTTGTTTTTCGTATGCTGCTTGTCCTGTTGCCGTGTCCGGTCGGTGGGTTAACTCATTGACGCAGGTGCGCATCATGTCCCTTTCTTCCTGCGTCAGAGGTTGGCCTCGAGGACGTTGAATTGTTCCTGTTTGATTCCCAGTTACATAGTGTATCTGTCGATGAGCTGAGTTATTAAATGTGGGGTTTGGTTGTGGGTTTTGTGTATGAGGTGTGTTATATGGTGCTGCTTGATTGACCGGTGTTCCAATAGTTGCTTGCTGCATTTGTAAACGAAGGATCTCCACTGGATCTCCTTGCCTATTCTCGAGTCGAGCAATGCGAGTGTTCTGGGCCTTTTCCACCTCCTTCCTTTCTTTCATCCACTTCACCTTTTCCAACAGTGTGTCAATGTTCACATCTTTGATCTCCGTCAGGAATGTGTTCCAATCTGGTGGTGCTGGTGACGTTAAGTCCCTTAATGTTCGTGGAAGTGCATCACGAACTGGTTGGATTAGGATCGGTGCGCTGTCGACTCCTGCATCCTGTACTAACTTCTGCAGCGTGCTGTGAAAGTGTATATGTGCCCATGTTTCAATTCCTGCAATTGTGATGTGTGTTCCAACTTCCTCTTCTTTTATTCATAGCGCCATTAACTCCTTTTGATACTCTAGCTTAGTTTTGTCTGCTGCGATTATTGCGGGCCATTTGGTGATAAATGCCGCTCTAATCGTTGTCCAACTGACTTTGTGCTTTGTATCCAGGTTCGTCCACCATAGGTCTGCCTGAGATCCGGCTGAGATAAGGGTGCCTAACAGTTTGACTTTCACTGCTTCATCTCTGATACCATTGACCAGGATATACATCTCTGTGGCACGCAAGAAGTTTTGTGCGTTCTTGTCGCTTCGTCCGTGGAATACAGCCGGTGGGCCTGTAGAGTTAGATATGCGGGATGTATGTGTAGGTGTAATGTTGGGTGGTGTGACAATTGGTGCTATGAATAGCGAGGTAGGTTTATGCAATGGTGTTATAGCTTGCGTTGCCCTTGGTTTCACAAATGGTGACCAAGGCTCTCTCAGTGGACTCGGTGGTTCCACTGGGGGAAATTGGAGGCTCTGTGTCTCTTCGTGACTTTCTTTCTCTATACTCTCGTCATTGAGAAATGAGAAAGTTATCAAGGACAGATCAGGTGCGCCTGGTAACAATTCTTCGTCGTCTGCTAACTGCCGTATGACTTCGTGTTCTGACTCTTCTTGCTCTTGCTCTAGCTCTCATTGATCAATCTCTGGTGTGTCCAGGGGCGATGAATCTGAAGAAGGTAGTGTGGTATCGGATGATTCTGCATTACTGTGTGTTTTCTTCTTGAATCGGCCTTTTTTATCTCTAGGTGGGGGTTCTCGCTGGGTAGACAGGGCTATAATGTGGGTTTCAGTGGAAGAACTGGCATTATACTGATTAAAGGCTATGCTTTGTACTCCTTCCTCGTGGATTGACACGTGGATTGACATTGTTTCTAGATTTCTTTTGTCTTCGATTTCTAGAACTTCTGTTGTCCTGTTCTGGACTCTGTTCTAGATTCTGCTTCTGGGCTCTGGCTCTGGCTCTGGCTCTGCTCTAAACACTGTACTCTGGCTCTGGCTCTGCTCTAAATGCTGTGCTCTGGGCTCAGAGGGGGAACCAAGACGAAGCTTGGTTGAAAACGATCTCGCTCTGTTCACCAGTTGGAGTGGCCTAAACCTCTCTCGATGGGACAGACAGAAAGACATGGGGTTCTACTCTACTACATCTGAGCTCTATGTCTATGCTACAAACACTGCCAAACACCGGTGAACCTCCACCTACTGCCTGTCCCCTTGCCTAGGGGCCCCCACTCCAATGGTACTACTAGTGTTGCTGAAAGTGGGAGGGATGGTGACTCGTGACTATTAGGATGGCAGGACATGTCACCAGAATTGTACAATGCGGTCTCAAGAGAGTCAGGCAAAGTGTTTGTGCGCAGGCGCTTACTGGACTGGGAGCCACCAGGAGTGGCACCAGAGACGCTGCCCCCTATGTCCATGTTGAGAAGATCAAGGGCTCCATCTGGACCATCGAGTACATCATCTACAGCGATAAAGGTGGGGGCTGCAGTAGCAGGGTGGAAGGAGTGGCATCCATGAGCACTGCTGTTTTCCCCCAAGATGGCCTGCATGTCATTGTATGGAGGCCACCCTTTGTTGCAAAAGGGGTGCATTGCAATTCGTGACTAACTCAATATCAGTTGATAGTGTCGCAGTATATTTTATCATAATGACATACCTTTGGGGCCACATATGCATCACAGACACTCGCAACAGCAACTCCCTCAATCCCAGCCCCACGAACATTGTCCCAATGGAAGCCTGATACACCACAGTAGATCTCGATTTGATTGAATGTTTTCTTGAGCTAAAACAATCTTGTTAATTCAAGATTAATCAAGATAAGAAATCATGTACCAAAGTCCATTTCGTCTTAACCATCTTGGCCGTCTTTAGTGGGCCTATTGTTTGGATTGCATGATCAGCATTGATAGCAGCCACTACGCTGTTGTAGGTAGGCATTGAGAAGTTTCCACCATCACCACCTGCTGCCCGGTTCTCAACAAGGTGATGAAGTAGGACATCAACCTCTGAATCTTGCCAATGTGCCTTTGATGAGTTGTCGGTTTGTTGTGTGATTTCTGGTTGGGCCATGAGAACAGTTGTAAAGCTGGCACAGATAGCAGTAAGGGCAATAACACTAGTACAGATTCTTTGCTGATAATGACAATCAATAAGATAGGGATAGGGATTCATGGTAGATGTACAGGTAGGAGATGCAAAATTAGAAGTCCGATGCTTCAAGCCGATAGCTCTCACCTAAAACTTTGCCAAACCTCGGTCAACATCTCGTTGCCGAACTGACTCTAATGGTGTTTGTCGGCCGAGTCGGGGATTGGCGCACGCGCCGCTACGATAGTTGTCAGGCATCAAATTAATGTCCCAATAAGGAACACTTGCAAGGCACTCGTGGAGATTTCCGATACATCGCTCGGACTTTCAAATAAGTCGCGGCAAATCAAACTGTCCTTGTACGCGTAGCGTCATAGGGCCTGCGCAGGTGTTGTCTGGTACTATCTGCAGTCAAATGAAAAGAAAACAGGCAAAGTGTTGAGTATTCTCATACGAGTCAAGACGGGAGGTTGAATCATTATAATTCATCACAAATCAAATCTTGTTGACTCATTTAGTCTAGTCTCAAAGTCCGTTATCTTTAGAATGCATACGGACCATGCGAGAGAGACAGTGCACCATCAACGCTGCTGGCGCCTTCTACCGCAACTACGGGCGTGTATCATGTGCTATCTTTCAAGAATAGCAAGTAGTAGGACTTGTCCTTCTTTCAGTTCCGACTCTCTCGGTTCCCTCTCGGCCCACTGGCCCGTTCCTCATCAGTTTGAGGCATATTTACGTATCGATAAATATCAACCATTCCGCTACCTTGATCTACCTAGGCACCTCGTACCCTCTCTCTAGTCATGGCTACTACGGAAAGGATTACCAGTGTCGCTGACGACAAATCCTTCCACGTGGAGGAGAAACCTCACTGCGTCAAGGGGGATATCGAGACCTCCACCGGAGAAGACACAGACGAGATTGTTGTCCTTCAGAACGAGCGAGATATTGCAACACACGTCATTTCCGTGGACGACGATCCTAATCTGAACCCTTGGACCTTTCGAGCTTTCTTCATCGGCATTGGCCTTTCCGCCTTTGGTGGATCCCTAGGTAAAGCAGTCGACATCATTCAATCGAGGCTTACTCATGATCACTTGCACTGCTTCCTAGCCCAAATTTATTACTTTAAACCTGTGAGAGTTTCCTGATCAAACATCAATTCGGAGGCCTCATTCGGGTTGGCACTTCAGCAAACTGTTCTTGTATCTGTGATGTTCCTCGGCATCATATCCTATGTGATTGGCCTTGCGATGGAAACATTCATTCCCCGCCATGGATTGCTCCGATACCTGAATCCAGTACGTCCGAGTTTTCACGTAGCCCCTGGCCCTGGAGTTCATTCGTATTAGAGGCCCTTCAATAAGAAGGAGAATGCGTTCATTATCATCATGGCCAGTGCAGCCGCGAACTCTGCATTGGGTACGGAAGTCCTCGCTGTCCAACGGTCTGCTCTCAATCCAATTCTTCTGTCGGTGGTGACTGACGACCCATCAGTTTGTATTATAACATCGTACCGAATACTGGCTCATCAATCATTTTGTTGTTCTCTTCTCAACTGCTCGGGTGCGTTGCGTCGACTCCTTACTTCACCTATCGCTGAAGCCGCAAATCACAGCTATGGGATAGGCGGTCTGATGCGAGGTATTTTTGCATCCGGCAGTAGCTATACTTGGAATCTCAACTCATGACACTGAATCAGGGATCCTCCTTTATCCATCGAAGATGTTGTACCCCGTCGTTCTCCCGTTGCTCTCCATGCTCGACGCTTTCTATCGCGATGGAATCGAAGCACGTCGAAAGCTCAAGGTCTTCTATTTCGTTTTTACTGTGTATGTTTAAACTTCATTGATAAATCATAATCTGATGTTCAATTATCTTGACTTCAGAATCTTTATATGGGAGATTTTTCCCGAATGGATGTTCCCACTGCTTACCGGTCTCTCGGTATTCTGCCTCGCCGCTCCTAACAATGCTACTGTCTCTCGTGTGTTTGGTGGTTCCAACGGAAACGAGGGCCTCGGTTTATTGTCCCTGTGCTTTGATTGGCAGGTAGTGCTCGCCATCTCGATTTGGGTTACACTTGCGTTGAACTCAATTTGTCTAGTACATCTCGGCTGCTTTGAACCCGATGTCTATCCCACTGAAAGCTCAGGTTAGTTGGCACACCTGTGCGTACAACATTTCTAACGTCTGCCCTAGCTCTCCAGCTTCATTGGTTATCTTCTCTGCATGTATGTGATTTCAGTCGCATCCCAAAATATTACTGAGGGAGGTGAAGAATTGTCTTCGTCGTCGTATTCTACAACAATATTTGGGAATCTCAGAACTTCCCGTTTGTACGTAATGTTCTTTTATTGCGCTTTCCAATATCCAGGCTAATGATACATCGATCAGTTGGCTCAGCTCCTCTTTTACGAGAACGGGACTATCTACAACCAGACTTTGATTATGGATTCCAACTATGAGGTGGATCCTGCCTTAGTGGCTGCACAGGGGCTGCCATTCTACGCCGGCACCTGGGTTGTTAACCTGCTGACAACCAATCTTGTATGCGATGAATGACTTCTGGTGTAAAATGCTTTGCTCATAGTTCCAACACAGTCACTGGGTGCAACGTTCACTCACTTACTCCTGTGGAACAAAGATGACCTTCGTGCAGCCTGGACTTGGATCAACATGGACACATTGAGGAGTTGGCGTGCTAATTTCGATTGGAAGTTGTGGAAACACAGTGGGAAAAGGGAAGTCACCGCTAACACTGGGGACCTCGACCCGCATTACCGAGAGATGCTGAAGGTTAGTCCTCCTGACATGCGATAGAGACCTTACTATTAACATATTACTCTGCAGTATCCAGATGCTCCGAATAGTTGGTACTTCTTGACGTTCGTTTTCTCCTTCATTCTTGGATTGGTCGTCATATACAAGACAGATTCCACGCTTCCCTGGTGAGCAACATTCTCGCTCTCCATCTGACGAAATTTTATATCATGTACCTTAAGGTGGGGCTTTATTATCGCAGTACTCTTGGCCGTTGTGTCTATCTTGTTCTTCACTGCGTTGTACGCTATCACGGGCATTTCGCTTTCCATCCGCGAGTATTGTTTTTGCTCTATAGGTGCCCCGAGTTGATCTTTTAGTGAAGAAACCCTAGTCCAGATGATTGCTGGCTACCTACAGAACGGAAAACCCATGGCGAATATGTTCTTTGTTCGTTTTGCCATCATTTCCGGTCTTTGACCACCACTGATGTTGATATTCACAGGTTCTTTACAGCTATGTACGCATCTTCATTCTCGCCTCCTTGATCTTTTGATTTGTTTTCTCCCTAGAATGCCGTGTCTCAAGCAATGCTGCTGCTACGCGATCTGAAGATCGCTCAATGTATGTGCGCGTTATTTGTCGGGAAAGGTGTCTCTCACTGGCGGATTCCTAGACGCCAAACTGCCTCCCCGTGCTGCATTCACAGCCCAGATCATTGGCACCTTACTCGGCGCTGGTCTCAACTATGGTTAGGAGCCATCTTGCCTATTCATTCTCCATATTCGACTTGTTTTTAGAATTGATGGATTCTATCATCGACAATCAACGCGAAATACTGTTGTCTGTACAAGGAACAAATATCTGGTCTGGCCAGCAACCTCAAGCATACAACTCGCAAGCCATTGCGTGGGGTGGCCTTGCTCGTGAACTCTTTTCATCTGGTCAAAGGTACCAGTGGGTTCCTTTATCCTATATCATTGGCCTGGTTGTGCCTCTTCCTTTTTGGATCATTCACCGTTACTGGCCGAAACTGCGCATGGATTACTGTTACACTCCTATCATCTGGTACGCTCTCAATTCAGCAATGATCGATATTCTAAGTTCATTATGTGTACAGTGCATACATCTCATGCCTTTCTGTTGGAATAAACTCCTCGGCTATGTCGTATTACTCGATCGCGTTCTTGTCTCAGTGGTGGCTCCGTACTAGGTACCCGCGTTGGTTCAAGGAATACAACTATTTGGTCGGTGCAGGTAAGCTCTGTGGCCTTTCTATCTCGACCACCAACACAACGCTATACTATAGCCCTTGATGGTGGAACGCAGGTCATGATATTCATTCTCTCCTTTGCGGTTCAAGGGGCTGGTGGAACATCACACCTTTTCCCGGAATGGTGGGGTGCAGACCAAAACGGAAACTACGACCACTGCATGTATCTCTAAATACCACGCTCTTAGTCTTAGCATCAGGGCTGATGTGTTTTTGCAATCAAAGAATACGGGGCAATCGGGCGTCAGCCAAGATACGTCAGCATATTCCCATGACATGTCCTTTGACATGTTTCCGTCGAGTCCCAACTAGGAGTCGGGATACTCGGCTACCACAGGTTTTGTACTATCCATCACGGCGTAATTCAAGAGAAGAAGCTATGTAGCGCCATCTTAGTTGTTTCTGGCGCTGGATAATCTCTTGAACATGCTGAACTTTGCTGAGTGAAGGATCACATAAGTTGCATTATTTGATATCATAAGGAAACTATTTTCGTAAAACATCTTCTAGCACAACACGTGCATTTTGTGCATCGGCACGCCCGCGGCTGAGCTGCATGACTTTACCCACCAGCTTGTTGAGGACTCGAGGATTACCTTGGCGCACAGCTTCCGCCTCTTCAGGAAGTGCTTCGATGGCTTCGACACACCATGCTCGAGTGGAGGCGTTATCATCTTCTGATACAGCCTCAAGAGAAAGTTCCTGTACGAGTACAGAGGGAGCTGACAAAGAACGATTGGCTATGATATGCTTCAATAACAACTTTCCCGAAGTCCCTGGTAGTGATAGTTGATGGATATAGCGCTAGACAGAAAAGAAGGCTTACCAGTAATTTTGCCATCCTGCACCAGGTCGATAAGTTCGCCTAGTTGCTCGACAGATACAGGATTATCGCTGAAGGTTTCTTTCCGAGCAGTCAATTGCCCTATGAGCTCGTGCGTCATCCTGGGTGTAAATACTGATGTATAAAGCTTCTATAGCAAGGAGGAAACCAAACAAACCAATTGACAACGACTCTCGGGTCCCTCTGTTGCGCGAGGGAGTCAAAGTAGGTCACAGCGCCTTTTCCAAGTTCTCCATCAAATCCAACCTCGTGACCCGAGTCGACGGCCATAAGTACATCTGTATCACGCTCAGACAGCCCAAGATTCCGCAAACGGACACGGGTTGTATCAGGGAGGTCCGGCATGGTCTTGCGGATGGTCTCAATATACTCCTATATGGAGTTTCAGATGACATGAGCGGGATTACAAGCAGGTTGTTACCTCAGATAACAGCAATGGAGGGATATTCGGGTCCGGCATGTATCTATAATCAGGAGAATCTGCCTTGCTTCTGAGCTTGAAAGTTTCGGCCTTATTTTCATCAAATCCTCTGGTGTCCTGCGATACAGAGTAGCCACTTTGGAGCAGTTCGATATGACGAAAGACCTCTGAAGCTGTTCGAACATTAGAAGTGATTCGGAATGGCTACGCAGACAGTCTACTAACTGATCGCTACAGTCATGAACTTCACGCTGTTGAGGTTTTTGATCTCGCAACGAGTGCCATGCGGTTGTCCGTGTTTGTTGATAGACACATTCACATCGCAGCGGAAGGACCCCTGCAATAGATTGAGTTAACAGTGAATCACATTTAGAGGAAACAGATGCCCCACTTGTTCCATGTTGCCATCACTAGAGCCAACACAACGAAGAACGGCCTGCAATGTCCGAACATAATCTGCGGCCTCTTCGGGGGACCTACATAATTGGACTAAGTTGTCACATGAGTGATGTGAATCAAAGTAACTCACCGCATATGAGGCTCAGAAACTATTTCCATCAACCCTGAGCCAGCTCGATTTAGGTCAATGAGTGATGTGCGTCTAAGCCCATCAAACGTGGATTTTGCCGTATCCTGTGCACATTTCGGCTTCGGTTCATACACAAAACTCTATCCGTCTTACCTGCTCAAGCTGGATTTGCTGGATTCCCACTGAAACATCGCCTTTGGAGAGCTTTAGATAACCACCCGAGGCCAGCGGTGCTTGTGGACAGATCAGATTGTCGGCGTTCATACTCTACGATATTGTGAGTTGAACTTACAGTAACGCTGAGTTATTTGATATCCTGCCGGGAGGTCAGAGTAAAAGTAGTGTTTCCTATCGAACGCCGATTGGTGATGGACTTTCGAGTTTAATGCTAACGCCGTTCTAACCGCTAACTCCACGCATTTTGGGTTCAATGTCTGAAACGTGAGGTCAGCTTGCACGCCAAGAGAACGGATGAGGTAGGCTAACCGGTAGTGTTCCAGGGAATGCGGAATCGAATGTGGACACAGTTGTATTGGGTATCTCACCTGGACGGGATGTGGATGATTCTATGCATGTTATATTATGCGAGAATGCGATCGTTAGACTGGGAGAGACGCACCTGAGAAAAGCTTGCGGCGAGACTTGATCTGGGCATGCACTTCGATACCTATAATTACTTGCCAGCCGGGCCAGCGCTTGTCGTGGATTGCTTCGCGTGTATGGATTTGTCGTGGGCACCAGAGCTGGTGCAGCTGTATAGAGCGCCATGGACAACGTCGAACAAGCATTAAAATCATGACTTTCCTTTCTAAGAAAACTTCTGGCATTCAATCACATCAGCAGTTGCTAGTTTATCATCATATCATCATATCAGCACAGACTTGTCAGTGTCAGTCACGACTTGAACCAAATATACCGCGTTTAACAAGGCTGTTCAAACCTGTGCGTAGCTGATTCTCTCTTAGGTAGCAGCTGGCTGGAGCGCTGATATCCTCATCCTAGTAGTCACCGCCAAGGGCCGCTCGTTCTGACTTACTTCCCTTCATCTTACATACTACGGATCTATCATTGCATCACGGTTGCGCTATGCCCGAAAATGTTCATTCAAACCTCTGGTCGGTGATCCGACGAGATAGCATCAGCACTACTGTCCGAGGGGATGAACCAGATGAAGAGGCTTTCCTCCCAGTTTACGAACCCCCTAGTGTGGGAAGCAAAGTGTAACATTGTGCCTCCAAATGGCTTCTTTCATCGCTAATTATTCTGCTCCGCTGCTTATCCTTCGTGGCGTTGTTTATCTATGCGGTGTCGATCATTAACAGTAGATATCGGGGACCGCCTCTCACACTGGCCAGATCAAGTACTTCAAAGTGCGTGCGTATTATATGTCTTTCTAATTTTGTAGCTGCTAATAGAGTCCTCAGTCCCTCAGAGTCATTTTTGCAGATGGACACACAAGAGACGGTGGTATATACGTACAACTTACAAGCTGGGTTTGCTCCCTTGCAATTCTCCGTGCTGTACGTCGTCTTGTCACATTCCTCGTCGTCATGATTTACCTGAAATGGGAAGCGTTGAACCTGAAGCAGATCAACCAAATCACTACACCCTGTCCCTCTCAATGAAAGCTGGTCATGTTGAAAGAGCTCTCTGTGCTCCAGTCACCCTGAGACTATCAATAGACCCCCGGCAGTTGGATTTCTCTGTTTTGTAAGTCACAACATGCCAAGTTCAACAGGAAGGCTCACTCCTTGCCAGCATCTTTCCTCCACGAACGAGTCTACCAGCTGGCTGTCTGTACAACCTGCGCGTTTGGCTCCAGACTGCAGGCATCGACCACCGGATATTTAGCGATAACGACCTTTGGGTTGGGAGAGACCCCGACTTTCGATCTGTCGGAGACGCTTCATTTGCCGTATTGCGGAATGCAACACAAGACATGCTGATATACCAGGGCATGGTAGGTCGTGCACACGTTAGCTTCATAATACGGTTCGTCGCTTCTCCGTAACATAAGACTTAAGTTCAACATGAATTACGTAGATGGAAACTCGTAGAAGTTGGCCTATACAGTCTCTCCCTAGAGTACGAAGCCGGAGGCGCCGGACGAACACTCTTCGATGACTGCTACATGAGACTAGAGTGCGAACCCCAAATCGTCACATTCCTGATCTAGTACGTCCCCCTTGCACAACATCCATTCACAACCTCACCGGTTTCCCTCAGCGTCATACCTGTAACCTCAACACCCGCCGGCGCATCTCACCGCCTCCGCTTCTGGCTCCGCACACCCTTCGTATCGCATTCCCCCGCTTCTTCCACAAACTCCCAATCCGAATCCTACATCTACCAGCGCATATGGAAATCAGACGATTTCAAGATAGGTGCTAATCTCAACTTTGAAGCACTAGGACCAAAACTCGTGATGGGCGTCCGCGATCCAGATTCACCGCGAATAGAGCGTGATCTTCCGTGTTTAGACCCTAGTCGACGCCGGAGCTCACGGACACCTACGAATGCAATTGGTAGCTCGTCAAGAAATTCTATGTTCCATATTCGTTGATCCCGGGACTTTACTTATATCATGCACTTGACGTATGCTTCTCATATCACGACATTTCGGCCGTCCATATTTATTTCATTTACTTGTATCCACTTACATCCACGTTTAACATCGAAGAAAATTTATAGTTCATGCGTAAGTTACGATACAAAATTGTGTTGTCTGGTTTTTAAAATGCTGAAATACGAAGAGAAAATATCGAAGTTGCCAAACTTGAGTGCCAAGGCAAAGAGACTAAAGTGAAAAGTAGCGCGAATGCTGGGAGCGGACATGCGACAATAAAAGCCAACGGACATAAGTGTAGCACTCATCCCACTGTATTGCACTGTTGAGGTCTGAAGGTTTGCCCAATGTATCTCGCCGTGTGCTTCAGTCCCTGTAGAAAAATGGATAAATAAACCAAACACTTGCAGGACGGTCATGCCAATGAAAACTGGGCTGTTGTGCCACGACAGCTGGTCTATGCCCCCCGGAACGAGCAAGCTGGAGCAGAGCTAGAGCTTGGTAGAATTGTTCAAGGGACCAGCACCGTTGCGAGAAGACCTTCTTTCTATTTCGCTCCCGTGGCGACAACAGCGTTTTCACCAAGAGGAAGCTGAGGGGACTTGATTTCGCTGACGGCCCGATTGATAGGAGCATATAGGCCATTGGTTTCGCCATGTAGCATTGCGCTGGAGAATGACAAGCCTGGAATACCATTCTCGTTATCTTGTGTTGTCTCCGATCTGCTGAGCGCGCAGCCACGCGAGATCAATGGTAAAAACATGTGAAAGAGTGTGTACCAACCGTCTCTTCTTGTTGGGCATATCAGGCGAGGTATTGCTTGACTTGCCCGATCCCTTCACATACATCGCGATGCAGGTCAGTCATGCTCAAGGGAACTACCAAAACCACCCACTTTGCCTGTTTTGGGGCGTTTCAGGGCCTGTTTAGGTTGTCGCTCGCCTTCGTCAAACACGTAGTCGGGAAGAGCAGAACTAGTGAAATGAATGAGATCGGAAGGGATGACTTGCCGCATCAAATTGCACGACCTTTTGATGTTCCGCACTACAATTCCCATCGTATCCTCATCGTACTTCTCCCACATCTTGACAAGTTTGGTAAACTCGGTGGTCGGATATGATATATCGAGCCTCCGCGGGCCCACAGCGCCAACTTGAAAACAGAAAATATGATGAGCCGCAGACATTCCGCAAGGAAACCATGTGGGAATCGAGGACGCACGAGGCTTTGGTTCGATCAGAAGTCCAATGTAGAAGGTCGTCGAATGGACTGTGCTCGCACCGTCGAGGCCTTCGATGTCAGCTTTTGTTCGCTTGGCGATGAGATCTGAGATCTGTCCTTGTGCAACCTGTCTCACTTCCTCTTCGGTAATACAATGTGAAACTTGATCAAAGCCTTTGATGAATGGATGCGCGAGAATCAGTGAATCGACGTATTCAAGCTTCATGACCAGCTGCCGTATCCGAGACTCGACAGTTCCTGCCCTGGACGTGACTTGCAGACTTGCCGAACGTACATCGGAAGGAACTCTTACCATTTGATCTGCAGTTCTGCAGTGCCAGTTGATGCGATAACTTGAAGGTAATATCGATACTTGTGGAAGAAGTCGTGTTTCTGGAAAAGTTCTGACCAACTTGCTGTCCCGACAATGACCTTGTCCACGATGTCTGCTCCTATACGACCTTGAGAATACCACAGAAACAGAATTACAAAGAGGACACTCACCTTTCTTGAACTCTTCGGTGACGATCATCTGTGTGGATGCTGTTACATTGTGAGTTGAGCACATTGCAGGATATGCGGGTGTGATGATAGGCATCCTATGTGATCGATCTGCAGGATAAAGCTGTGGAAAGCAAATGAAAAAGAGTGTCTTATTTTTTAGAATGAACGAAGCATACTTTTGGATTCCAAACGCGAACTTGTAATGGTCCTTCTTCTATTTGTTTCAGCAGCACCGGTTGGGGCCACGACCTGGATATAAATAGCATACACGCACTCAAACACTTCCATGAACAGGCGCACCATTGGTACATGATAATGAAAAATCGGCTAACGATCGCCCCCGCAGTAGCATTGGGATATAACTGACATATTCGGGCGACAAGGATTGCCCATGCGACACCGCCCAAAAACCCGTTTACATTCGAGTAGATGGCCCTCCCTGAACACGGTACATCAGCAAGGCACCTCACACAGCGAATAACTCACGTTGGGCCCAGAGCTTGATGCATCGAAGCGAGTCTCGATAGACCTCAACATTAGGTACCAGACGCAGAGCTTCATCATTCACCCGTGAACCTATGCGCATATGAATACGAGCGAACAATACGGAAAGTAAGATTTACCTCCAAGACTTCGCACACATCGCTCGTCTAGATTTCGCAAAAGGTTATCGTCCTTCAATGACAGATCATCTGGTATAGATGATAGCGCCAGACGAGCCATCAGGAGATCTAATGGTATCCCCGAGATTTTGGCCTTGATAATCGGAACGTACGCTTCCGGCACACCCTAATCATCGTCGTCATCATCGGTCCATGTCGCAGAAACCAGTACTGTCAGATCAAACTCACCGATACCTCCGTAGCACCCTCTAGTTCTTTAAGCATCGGCTCGAACTTTTCAAAAAAGTCTTCGCGAGATACATGTTTAGGGACAACGCAAAGAGTATCAATATCGGACCCAGGTCCATGAACGCCGAGACGGTATGAACCAAAGGTAAATATTTTCCCCCCAGCAGCGTTCGCTGCTGCCTCCGAAAGTCCGCGAGATAGGGACACCTCATACACAAATTTTTTGACGACGGCAGCTACACGTCCGAGCACGGTTTCCCTGCGAAAATCGAAAGCGACCTCAGCATCGCCTGCCTCTCCAGAGGATGCACTTGAAAAGGCCAGACACGAAGAACAACCCGAGAACCATGAAGTGCGCATCCAATGATCTTCAACGATAGCGCAGCACCCACGAGGTTCTCGGAGAGCCGTCCGCGCATCGACATTCAATGAAGGCAAAAAAGTATTGATCCTACCTGAGCCGGGCCTCCTCCACACTCTCGAAAGTATTCTGTCTTCTCAGCTCCTCCATCAAGGTCGCTGTGACCTCCTTTTCCCTCTCGGTCGATTCGGCCGTCGAGATTGGTGGTGTGACCCCAAGAAACCTAGAACGACTATCAGCTCAATGATTAGACAGATAAAGCTTGTATTTACCCTTTCTCTGTGGTCATGATTGCGTGAATTTGAGAGAGAAACAAACTTGCGGCTGAACTTGTGTCGAGCGACTTGATCGTGTTGAGTTGCGGGTAATGGAACTGAAATCACCCGCGCCACCATTTCAGCAGCCTGCTTAGTCATTCTCAAACATTTGACTGGCACAATATCATCAAAGCATAAATTGGGTAAAACTCTAAGCTCTAAGTCCTAAGGGGGTAGCATGTAAGAGTAGGGTATGTACTACCAGAACTCGAAGGTACTGGCGGATATGCACGTGATACACGCTATAAGCAATACAATATGAAGGTTGAGTAGCGTCCCGATTGATCCAGGTAGGGAACAGATATACCTGGCGACCTATCGATCGTCAGAAGAATGTTTGTGAAAAAGTACCACGTTACAATGAACAGAACAGGTGAATAGAGCGTGGATAGAAGTAGGAATGTATGCACGAGAGGTTCAGAATTGTTCCGTGCTTCGAATATATCCCTTCTGATTGTGCCGCGTAGCTTTGAGGTGATTGCGATCATCCGCACGCTTGACGGCCCATCTACGGATATACCATGCAACGAAGGCCACAAGGAGGATACCAAGGATGACACCTAGTACGATACCGACTATTTTACCAGTTGAAGAGTGACTACTCGTCGACGGTTCGGGGCTAGTGGGCGAACTTGAAGACGATGGGTTCCCACCGAATGGCCAGTAGTCTCCACCAGCAGGGGGGAGAACACAGGTTAACGCGTCTCCATTGGTGTTGTCCAGGAAGTTTGACTGAGTCGTGCTCTGCGCAGTGTTGTTGATATCGATAACAAAGGCTGCAGGAGAAGGTGTTGGGTCACCAGTGGTGCAGTTGGGACCCCGTGCCCCAATAAAAGAAGTGTTTCCAACGAGGGCATTATTTTCTACTGTAAAATTGGTTGCAGAGGATATGGCAATGCCATAGCTGAATGCGCCAGTGAGCTTGTTATTAAGCACTGTCCCGCCAGTGCTGACGTTGTTGAGATACTCATTCCCGAACCAAGTTCGGGGACCAATTGCAATTCCGATTCTAAATTATTATTGTCAGCACCCTGCCGAGACATGAGAAAAAAAGTGGTTGCGCGTACTTGATGATGACATCTTGGTTGTTTGTACCATCGGTGGCCGACCCTGTGTCAGGACTGGTGGCGAACCCACCCATAATGGTATTGTTGGTGACCACAGTTCCCTTATAATCACCGCTAAAGGGCACTACGTCGACCATGTTGATTCCTCCAAGCAGTGTGTTCTGCATTACCGTGAGAAGCCAACAAAAAGGCATGGAGGATATCACTTACGTTCTCGACCCAGATCGTGTTGTTCTCAACGAGAGTGCCTGGAGAGCCAAATAGTACAATACCTCCATCCGTCGGATTATTGACCATGTTGTTACGAACAACGCTGTTTGAACATGCCACACTAATTCCGTCAGCCCACTGCTGGAAGTCATCTGATCCGGCGGGTCCAATATCGTTGTTCTGGACGGTAGCATTGTTGCAATTCAAAGTTCCCTCGCTGACATGGAGACATGACCAGCTCCTGGGGTCATAAGAATGAACATATTCGATAAGCTGGCCCGAGTTTGGACCGCCCATTTCAATATTTGCACCGCCGTTGATGGCAGGCGCGCCAGCCCGCGTGCCGTTGATCTGTGGGATAACAGTTAGTTCGAGGGAAAATAATGGAGTGTGAATGATTTTACCTGAATGTTTCGTAATATGATACCGTCGCAATTAGCGCAAGTGCCATCAACGGCGGTCGTCTGGCCAGTACCATTTGTGACAGCGCCGCTAACTACTAAGACAGCTCTGGTGCCATCCGTGGGATGACCGAGGGTGCTGATCTCTTGATTGGGAGCAGCGAAAAGAATGGGGGCCTGTATGAAATACTGGGTGCTAGGACAGAGGCTCAAGACAAAACCTGAACCAGAAGAGTTGAGAAGTGTGTTTAGGCGATCCGTAATGGTATTGGATGGGTCAGCAGGCTCGCAGTTTGAAGTTGCTCGAGGTACAGCCAATATCCTGTAAAATTTTGTGAGCAAAGAAGGAGAGACAAAAAAGTTGTCGTACTTGTGGAGATAATTGACAGGCATGGTGAAAGTAAAGCCGAATTATTGTAGGCGGAAATGGGAGGCTAAACTGAATCCGAATTGAAAAAAACAAAAAAGGGTAGGACAAAGGGCAAGGATACAATGCACCCGCAAAGCGATGGTGGGGTGAAAAGGTGAAGAGAAGTTTAAGGAATGGAGTGAGCAACTCAAGCGAGCGCCTCTCAATTGATTGATTGATATACAAACTTGCCGAGGTCAAGCAAGAAGTTAGGCCGGTAGGGAGCATGTCATGATTGCCTAATGTAGTCACGCCGCTACAAGTAACGTTCCTCGGTCAAATTATATTTCCCGCTCACCAATGTACAACAAACTTGAATGATACACACTCGTTGGAGCTGAAGATAAGGCCATCTAGATCACCCCTGCAATCGGAAAGGCTATGCATGTTCCCAACCTGCGATCGGCCCTTTTGAAAATGTCTATTCGCGTCGACGATAAGCCCATGATGCAGAGGCCCTGACACTACCTTGTGATCGTCACATCATAGCCAAGCACTGCCACAGTAAGCCCTAGATCAATAGCCACGCCCTCTTGGCTTTCAGCAAAAGAAACGGGGACCAGCTGGTGCTGTTCCAGTTCGACCGAGGTGAGCCACTTGTTATCTCGCTCCTGTATGCAGGCAGAGGCCGAAATCCATCATTCAGTGCCTATGTATGTCACCCTTCTAGACTTTAAATGAGCTTCGACAAGGGAAAGTTTGGTCATGACAGTGGTGCCCACCTAGTCACAGGTCCAAGATCAGCTGTCAGCTTTCTTATCTTGGCTATACGAATCATCAAACTCAGATATTGCACATCGTTGAACGACTTCGAGTCAAGACGGTCCGGTAGGCATGAAGATAATTATACGCTGGTAGGCTTCCTCTTATCTTTTATTTCAGCTCTCTCCCACAATGTTTGCTATTCTAGTCTCGTGCGAGCGCAAGACCTTGCAAAACTTTTTACCAACCGAGTAACCATTCTGCTACCCCCTTCTCATCATCATGGCTAAACTGCTGAGTGTAGTACTAGGCTTCTTGAGCCAGCCATTCATCTATCCTCCCCAGCTATCGTTCTTAACTGATTATACTGGAGCAAACAATGGTCAGATCATCACTTCAGAGCTCTTCAGCTCTATCCAGGAAACCCTCGATATTTGGAACATCACTGGACTTTCTGTCGCAATCGTCCCAAAGTACGGCGAACCGGAATTTCGTTCATGGGGAAACATGACAGAGGACGGCGACAAGACAACAGAAGACGTGCGAAATGTTCAAGCTTCTTCCTGTATGAGTTCTGAAACTGCAATTTCCAGACGTTATTCCACATGGCGTCTGTGTCCAAGGCTTTCTGCGTGAGCGCTCTTGGAATTTTGATGGATGACTACGAATATGGAAGAAATGTTACGCCGCTTCCCCCTGCTCTCTCGGAGTTCAATTGGCACACTTTGGTACAAGATATCCTTCCGGGAGAATGGCAATTGATGGATGACTGGGCGTCCAAGAAAGCTAATATAAAGGACATCCTCTCTCATGTATCTGGCCTTCCTCGGTAAGCTCGACTCAAACTCTTCGCTCCAGCACAAGATTCTATTGAGCCCGAGCTAGTCATGACTACTCGTATGGACCACATGACACCCCGAAAGATGACGTATCGCGCATGCGCTATCTAAGGCCGGCTTTTGAACTCCGGGAACAGTGGTCGTACAACAACAAGGTAACGCGATCTTGGCAAAAGCGCTAAATACATCTTTATAATGTTCCAAACAGATGTTCACGACAGCCTCACACATCATTGAAACCTACTCCGCACAAACGTACACCTCTTTTGTAGAGGATCGCATCTTCACGCCACTAGGAATGTCTTCCTCCACGTTCTCACCCGCAAAGGCTGGAAACACCGGGAGATTCACTCAGGGATGGACCAGCACTGGGAGACTCTTGCCCGAGTGTTTCACAGAAGAGATGGTAGCGCTGATGGCCGGTGCAGGCGGTGTGATTTCGAGCGCCGTAGATATGGCAGGTGCTTTTCGCCTTCGTTCGATTTACAACTGAAGACATTTGTTGTCATCCAGTCAAAATGGGTTGCATTGTGGCTCAACAAGGGTGTGCACAACAATGTCGCAGTTATACCGCTGTCTGTGTATGGAAACGCATCGCAGTCATACTCCTTATCCATCAGCGCCTCAGATGATCCTGAGCTCTCCATTGAAGGGTATGGGATGGGTTGGTTCCGATACTCTTACCTGGGCCATGATGTAACGAACATTCATCCCGTTATTGCGCATGATGACTGATGTCGGATTATTAGATCGTATACCATACAGGTTCGGTTCCAGGATTCTCCACGCGAGTCTCGTTCCTTCCAAATGACGATGTTGGAGTCGTCGTTTTCGCCAACGGCTGGCGATAAAGCAACACCTGTAGTGAATATCTCACACCGTATAATGGACGCAGCTTTGAACCTGCGGTCAAAACCATCACCACCGATGTTCGTTTTTTTCATTGCAAAATACCTTTCCCTTTTACTCACCTATCACCATTCCAGTAAACCCGACACGCCTGAGGAGAAACCAATCCAAGAAAACGTCGTTGATTTGGAACTTGCACTCGAAGAGTTCTCGGGCACTTACGCCGGCGCTGGATACCCACCCATCACCTTTTGCAGTCCTTCCGGCAGCTCCCTGTATTGTCAAGACGTGATCTCTGACTTTACTACGGTAGATGCAGGAAAGTCAAGCGCTCCTCAGTCGCCTCAGCTGTTCGCAGCGTGGCCTCGTGTATGGTCGTCCCACATTCGAGGCGTGCATCGGTCTGGAAATACATTCGTGATTCAGTACACCTCGTTGTTCCCGGAAGGATATGGGCGCGACAGTACACCCTTTGAGACAGCGGAAATAGGGACCTCTGAGGCTACGGCTGAGTTCATCGTGGAAGATGGAAAGGTTGTTGGATTTGGCTTGTTCGGGCTGGTGGGTCAAGTCACAGAGAGGGAGCGAACGCACACGACTGTGAAAGACCGAGCCGAGGTTTGGTTCGATAAGGTGTAGTAGTAATACAAATGATGTTGGTATATAAGTAGCGCGTTGGCCGAAAAAATGCCAGCGCGGGAACTTCAGGCTCGTTTATACGAGCACTGGAACTATATCTACTTATATCGAGAAATTTAACAAATCGTAACGATTCATACACTCATAGATATGCATGTCAACCCAACCCACTCACTTCTTCGCCCTCAACTGCGCCCTCAAATTCCCATTCTCCGTCTGAACCGAATTAAGCTCGTCCAACAACGCAATCTTCTGTGTCTGCTCCGACATCCTCATCCCATCTACCTCCTCTCTCGCCTTCCTCAAAGCTTCTGTGCACTCCGCAAGTTGGGCTTCAAGCTGCTTGCGTACCTTCTCAGGCGCTGCAGCAGCTTCTTCAGCGAGCGTAAGCGTTTTAGCGCTCAAGGAGCTATTAGCCTCTGTGAGCTGTCGACACGTCTCTGCTTGATCCGCAGCATGCATCTCCATCTCGCGGGTCTCACAGACCGCACGTTCGATAGCGTCCTGTAGGTCACGTATCTCATCCATCCTACCCAAACAAAACCGTTCAAAAATCCACTCAAATCAAATAAGCAAACAAAGACTCACAATGCATTCTGTTTCGACACCAAAGAAGCATTCTGCCGCTCAAGCGTTAATACCTGCCGCTGATACGTCTCTAGCGCTGTATTACTCTCTTGTGCAAGTTTTTGAGCCCGTTCTGCGTTCTTCTTGAGTAGGTCGTGTGCTTGAGCGAATCGGATCAGTCTGTCGATTAGTGCTCGATCATCTATGACAAGCGCTTGAACGCGCGAGACAAACGCTTCGACGCTGAATGTGCCTTTATTCTGCTTTTGGGGTGAACGGCTGGTTGCTGAAGTAGGAGTAGGAGGTTGGGGGCGTGTGTCATAGAGAGTTTTAAGCGCGCGTACGTCCATGTCAGAAAGGGTGGATTTGGATGGCGATGGCAATGGGGATGATCCGCCAGTGTTCGAGACCATGGAAGGGTTTCGAAGGTGTCGTTTGCTGTTGAGTTTCGAGGCGCGAAGTTCGGGCGCGGGGAGGATGTTCCAGATGGGTTGGAGAATGGCAATGATGTCTGCTGCTTCCCCTGTGTATTCGACTGGGGGTTCGGAAGGTGTTGACGAGGTATCGATGAGTTCCTGTATTTAATATGAGCGCTTGTCATGCTGGGAAATGATAAAATGTTACCTTGACTCGTGACTCAAGGGATTGGACTTCAAGTTGTGCGTTGTCCTCTTTCTAGGCGAACGGCGTCCAGATCCTTTGAGAGGGCTTCGTTATTCTCCACGTGCACTCGCAGATCATCTCCAAGGCGTGCATGCCTATCACTATGACCCTGCAGCGCAGCTGCTAGCGTTTCAAGATGTGACGCGACCGAGGCAATTAGACCCTGCAAGGATGTATCGGGGGACATCTGGATACCATGCAGCTGCATGATAGTCCGAAGTAGTCTCGGTAGCTTCATCCAACTCTGCTCGTGCTTCACCACCAGCCCTCGCATTATCCAGCTCATCCTGCAACGCACCAAGCTCTGTGAATTTGTTCTCCTCCAACATAGTTCTCTCCGCCTCCCATTCCTCTCTTGCATCCTCGAGCTCATCCTGGAGGGCACCAAGCTCTGCAAGTTTATCTTCCTCCATCACAGCTTTCTCCGCCTCCCATTCCTCTTTGGCATCCTCCCACTCCGTCTTCAGCGCTGCGACTTCCTCATCCTTTTTCTGCAGTTCCGCGTCGCACTTTGCCTGCATGTCTGAGAGTGCGCGTTCCATTTCAGTTGCTTCGCTGCTCTGCTCCTCTAAGACCTCCAACCGCCTCTCCAGCCTCTCCACCTCCTTTTCCCTTGCAGCCAACTGAGTCTTGTCCTTTTCCCACTGCGCACGTTCCTCGAGTAATCCCTGACATTTCGCATTCAGCTCCTCGAGACGCGGAAACTCTTGCTCTAGCGCAGCGACAGTTTCCTCAGCAGTCTGAAGTTCCATACCCATCGTCGTCTCAATCTGTTCCTTCTCGAGACGGAGGTGAGATAATTCGCGTGCCATCTCAGCTTGTTTCTGGTTCGCAATGCTGAGGGCTTCAGTTGCAGCGCGGAGCTTGTCTTCGAGCGCGACAACGTCATTGACGGATGGTGGGGCTTTGGGTATTTGTGCGTCGGCGTGGCCCGCGAATAGGTGTGCGCCGTCGAATCGCGCTTTCGGTGGTGGAGAAGTAGTCGTAACGGGACTAAAGGCTGAACTCCTATTGGGCGTGTTCAAACCCGATGCATCTCCACTAGGCGTCATCTTTCTCTCCATCTTGGCGACAGAGAAACCAAGCACGCCTGTACGATGTTCCAAAAGTTTTCGTTCGACTTCGTTTGCACGTTCTGAAACGCGCCATAGTTCCGTCTGCGCAGCTGTTGACTCTGCGTTCTGCAGCATCTAGCTGGTCGTCTGTAGCTTTTGAGACTTTCTTGTGTGCAATGTTCACTTTTGAAAGAGATAGAGCTGCATCGCGGATCTTTGTTTCTAACTTGAGCTTCCTCTGTGCTGCAGCGAGCCGAATCTTAAGAATTTGGTGTTCCTAAAGAAACAGTTTATTTAAATTAAATATAAAGGCGCAGATCGAGTGGATGAATGGAAATCGAACCTTTTTGAGTTCTTCGACTTCTTCCCCGCTTAAGATCTCACATTCGCGACTTTCTACGATTGCTTCGCTTGTGAGAAGACTCATGAGGAGGTCGTCTCTTATATTGAGTAACCCTGAGGTACGTTTCCATCCTGAAGCGGTAGACGTTCTTGATTGTAGGGGGGGTAAAATTCTTGGAGATGAGGGACCTGGGACTGGGGTTGGGGTTGGGACTGGTTTTCGTAAGGGAGAAGTGACTCGGGATGAAGCAGGCGATGCCGAGCGGTCTGAGCCGTTGGCGTCGTTACCGTTCCCAGCGTCAGTGACGGATGCTACTGATGACTGTTTCTTGTTTTTCTTGATGAAAAGTCCCGGAGTTGTCGTAAGAGGAGAACCTTCGGAAGCAGGCAGGGTTGACGGTGCTATCGATATGCTAGTAGGTGTTACAGGTGTTGCTGGTACAGGTGTTGGTGGTGTTGGTGAACTGGTGGACGAGCTCCCGCCTCCCCAAAGTTTGCGAACGCCATTCATTTGTAGTATAATTGGCAGATCGGCCTGCCTGCAGAGAGCAGTGCGCAACTAGCCAGCGAGCCTTGGGAAATCCGGTGTTCGTTCATTAGGTGTTGTTCCGGGGCGGTTGTTTATAATTGTTGAATTCAGAAGATTAGGACAAACTTTGACAAACAACCCATCGCATGTGACCATGATGATGCCGCGGTTCCCGCTAGAAACTTGAATGCGGTCCGGAACTAGAATCCAGGTCAAGCTTTTCTCCTGCTATGCGAATGACACTGAATTAGGATACAGAGCAAGGAGGTAACTCAGTAGCATGGCACCCAATATCTGGTGCTGATCTGTGCAGACTATTCTTTGCCGTGCACTGTTATGGTCCTATGGATGCTAAGTCAGGCGCGCTAATAATCGACTTCAACATTCAGAGCCACGATCCATGTATCTATCTACGAACTTGACACGTCGACGCTGAAGACTGTCGGAGTTCCCTTCCAAGGGCACACTGACCTTGCTCTTGCACTCTTGTTTGACGACGTTCTCAACAGTGCTTCCTATGACAAAACCATGAATATTTGGACCTTCTAGCTTCGACAGTTCTTTGCCTCCTTTGATGGCGACCTTGTCCTGGAAGCTCTCATGTTCTCACCTGACTCACTTCGACTGGCTTGCACGTTTTACGATGAATCCAATGTCTATATACACAACCCGACCCCCGCTCTACTTGCTATACAGTCTACCCTCCCCAAAGTACGCATCGGCTCACATGAATCCATCTTTTGTGAACTAACCTTCTCTCGAAGACTGATGCTCCTCTCCAGCATTTACTTGAGGTATGTATCCCATTATTATCACGTTACGCCAATTCACGTGAATCATAACGGTCTGACACAACCCGTCGTCATGCCGTCGTACGCAGAACCCCAACGAGACGGCTTGTCATTGTATCATCTTTCCCCAGGCATCAAATCCATTCGCCTACAATAGACCATCAACAACCTGTTTTCCTTCGTCATGTCCGCAAACTCTTTCACTTTACTTTTTGAACGAATTCAGTTCCTCCTCTACAACCTCGCTAGCCATGGAATGTTCGTCTGATATCTACTTATCTCGTTTTTTTGGGGTTGATTTGACCGTCTCTCAGTTCCCTGCTACGTCGCCCTCGCCTCCCAGCCGCTCAGCCTCGCTACAGGACGCGACTCCGTTTGATAATGTTAGTCTTCGTTTCTAGTATACTCGCCCTGCATGACTGAGTCCTTATCCAGTTCGAAATGAGCTCTCCGTCCCATATGGTCGGGCATTTCCGAGACGTTGTAAGACTATATTACTAACCACTGACAGAATGGCCTAAGAATTTCCTGTGAATGCTATTATCCGAGCCTTTCGAGCTTCTAACCGAGCTGAGGCCGCCAGAAAATCCTAAAATCTACTTAGAGTCTCACTAATCTTTAGTTGAGTTACGCACGATGAACGATTTCCATTGGGTGATTATGCCACTGAGGCACTACATACTCGTAAGTGTTACGGCAGCACTAACCAAGATAGCGTACGTACGAGAATGCATCCAACACATTGTTAGAGACTATACTATACTCAGGGATAGTAAAATGATGCTTTAGCTTGAACGTTGGACGAGAGTTTCAACTCTAAATGTACCGCCTTATATAGACTGACTGGTTACCGGACTTTCCATAGATAACGGAATTATCGAAGACACTTCGATATGGTCCATCGTTTGCAAACTGCCGATCTTATATGAAGACGAACCAACATGTCTTGGGTGCGGCTATACAGCTAACATCATATCGATAGGCCAGAATCCATTTTTGTTCATTCACCGCTTTTGTTTAGTTGTGGAGCTGGCCAAACAAAAGGGTCCCGCCTATTACGATACTTTGTCGGCTGAGATACCCTAGAATGGTACTGGACTGCACACTGATATCGACTGATTCGGCGGGCGAGGAAAGGCAAAGAAGGGAGCAGAGCGTCGAAATTTGAAGGAGCATCAATGAGCATCAATACCAATGTCTATCACTAGCTGTACAGTAGATGTCAAGTAACGATTTGTAGCTGTATTCCGACAACAGAGCCTATGAGACGAGAGAGCCGAAGAACTCAGTTGATAGTTCGGCGGCTTGTATTAGTGAATTGTACTATTGCCTTCGATGACATTTGGACAGACATAGTGATCCATTGTTGCTTCATGGCTGCTGCAGGAATGTGACGGCGGTTTCCAACTATAGTGAGAATGGCGTCGGAAGACAGTGTGGAATGAGAAAGCTGCGCAGTCCAGTGACATTCTGGGGTATCTCGCCCCGACGAAGTTGTAATAGGCAGGACCCTTTTGTTTGGCCAGCTCCACAACTAAACAAAAGCGGTGAATGAACAAAATGGATTCTGGCCTATCGATATGATGTTAGCTGTAATCCCTTCCCATGCTCTCCACTGCTACTCTCACTCTAGGGATATCGTGCGTTATTGCCCTGGGTGTCGCTTCGGGTCTCATTCGCAGACGTGTCCACCCTTTACCTCTGCCACCTGGCCCTCGTCCGATACCATTTTTGGGCAACGTGCTACAATTGGATACTAAACGACCTTGGCTCACATATACTGCGTGGGGAAAGACATATGGTTGGTAGTAGGCCAATGGCCTCTTTGCAAATTTCTTGTATTCAATTTCATACCTAATCATAGGAAAAATCATTTTCTGCCGCATACTTGGGATCGACTTGGTCATCATAAACTCCGAAATCACCGCGCAAGAGTTGCTGGAAAAACGCTCTCTCAATTACTCTGCTCGCCCCGTTTTTCGCACCAACGAATTGTATGCATTGCCGGTTTTCATTCAATTTGTTCTTCATCCACTGATGACGCAGAGCTGGACTGAATTTCATTACTATAGCGCTTCCGTACGGCGAGACTTTACGACATCATCGCAAGATCTTCCATCAAGTCCTCAAGGCCGAAGTCTCGGCATCATACCAGGAGATATACTCTCGCCATGCAAATAGACTAGTCATCAATCTTTTAGGTGCCACTGATGACCTACAGCACCACGCTGAAACGTTCGTACCTAATCTACTGGTGTCGTTGTGACGTATGGTCCAGTTGACGATCAATCCTTGTGACAGATACACGGGAACCGTAATCATAGCCGTGACATACGGAGACCTTGCTCATGGCAATGAAGGCTCATATCTTACCCGCGCGCACGAACTCGTTGATATTGCAAAACAGATTCTTACTCCCGAGAAGGCTGCCATGTTCACAGCCTTCCCTTTCCGTGAGTGCCTTTGTCGACGACATCATTTTGAATATTTAGCATGAGGTTGCAGTCGAAAAGTTACCGTTTTGGTGCTTCGGTGGAGCACATTCCCTGATGGGACGCAGTAAAGAATTATCTCAACAGCTTTTGAACGAGCCATTCAACGAAGTGAAGGCACAGATGGTACGTTTGCGCACAGTCATGGATGAAAATTTCGCCTGATCTGTCTGCGTGAAGGCAAATGGCACTGCTTCACACTCATTACTCACTGACTGTCTCAGCCAACCTCACGATGACGGCGACGAAGATATAATGAAGGCTGTTGCGTTGACAGGATACATAGGTAAGAATCTTTATTTACCAGGACAGAATTCATCTATTGACGGGAATTCGGCTTCTTAGCTGGCATGGAAACCGTGAGTCGCCACTTGAGCAGTCCTGATTCTTGCTTTGATGTCCGGCAGACTGCATCCGTATTGCACACATTCCTGCTGGCTATGGTGCTCTATCCTGACGTCCAAGCCCTGGCTCGTGCAGAAATTGATCAAGTTGTGAGGCATAATAAAATGCCGTGCCTTAATGACAGGGCGTCCTTGCCCTATATTGATGCCATTCTCCGCGAGGTCATGAGATGGTATCCTCCCGCCCCCCTAGGTTTGTCGGCAGTAATACAACTTTGTGTTTGCATGATTTACCCCTTGCATAGGATTTGCACGTGCAACTTCAGATGATGATGTTTACGACGGGCATTTTATACCCAAAGGTTCGAAGTGGTATGAGTCAAGGTTGCCGTCGGCTCATCTGTAGTTCATTCAGGTGCAACAGTAATAGTCAATCAGTGGTATGTCAGGGTGGAGTGCATGTAATGGTTTGAGCTGAACATTTCTCAGGGCACTGTCTCGGGATGAAGACATATTTCCCGATGCATCGCACTTCGACCCTAGTCGCCATCTAACTGCTGACGGGAAGCTGAAGAGCCCTGTCGCCAACCATTTTGCCTTTGGTCACGGCAGGTGAATATTCTACACTTGCTGTCATTTTCAATCACTCACTAAACCTTGCAGACGTATTTGTCCTGGTAGGCTGATCAATGATTTGGATTTGGCAGTGCTGAGAATGACAAATTCCCTTGGTAGGTCGTTGGTTTGCAGAGTACAGTCTGTGGACTGCGATTGCTGCCATACTCGCTGTCTTGCGCATCGATCATGCCAAAGACTCAAATGGACACAGGATTGAGGTGAAGCCAAAGTTCACCACCGGCTTAACGGCGTAAGTGACCTAGTATACATCCAATAACCTGCGGGCTAACTCTGTCGAAGTCAGCCTGAACCATTTCACTGCTCTTTTGAAATCGTGAGCACAGCAAGAGAAGGACAGATCCGAGCAATGATGAATTCTGAGTAGACTTTGTTTGTACAATGAACAAGAGAATTGCTTTCGAATACATTTGACTCCTCAGAAACTAGATCCGTTTCCAAAATCTCGTGCCTCACATAAACCAGTGCGCCAACTAGATTTCATCCAAGCTCTCAAACTGTTCGTGATATTTTTAAATTGGCAATTGAATGTATTCGTTAATGTAATGCATTGATGGTAATACGACATCCAAAGATGTCAGCAACGCGAGTGGGCGGCCTGGTAATAACAACAGTGACAAAGAAGAGACAACGACAGAAGAAAAACACAGATGAGCATAATAAGGAGGTAAAAACATCTAGGGAAGAGTCCGGGGTCTTGTCAGTATGAACGATGTGGGTATTTGTTTTTTCAGGGATTGACTCAGGAAGGAAGGTCTGAGTGATTATCAGCGTCGATCAACAAGAGACCCACACACCGGCAGTTTGGGAGTGTTTCACTATGCAACATTCTTACTATACATTTTGACACGGTAGAAATGTCAACTTTATCGTTAACATTTCGAAACAAATCTTGCATAGTGAAACCGTCGGTGTGCCATAATTCCTAATTCAGTGTCATTCGACTAGCAGGAGAAAGGCTTGACCTGGATTCTAGTTCCGGACCGCATTCAAGTTTCTAGCGGAACCACATCATGTCACATGCGATGGGTTGTTTGTCAAAGTTTGTCCTAATCTTCTGAATTCAACAATTATCAACAACCGCCCCGGAACAATACCTAATGAATGAATACCGGATTTCCCAAGGCTCGCTGGCTAGTTGTGCACTGCTCTCTGCAGGCAGGCCGACCTGCCAATTATACTACAAATGAATGGTGTTCGCAAACTTTGGGGAGGCGGGAGCTCGTCCACCAGTTCACCAACACCACCAACACCTGTACCAGCAACATCTGTAACACCTACTAGCATATTGATAGCACCATCAACCCTACCTGCTTCCGAAGGTTCTCCTTTTATGACAACTCCGAGACTTTTCATCAAGAAAAACAAAAAACAGTCCTGCGTTAGTGGAGGAGGGTCTTTGTCAGTTCCATACTATCGGTAATCTGTGACCGGTCATGGTGCCATTAATTCAAGCATCGTTTTACAAGTCCTGTTTAGTATAGTCTCGGAAGACCACATGTTAGATGCTTCCTCAGGCTCATCATTCTCCGCATCAGTAAATTGATGAGTCCCTGGTCTTCGTCCCCTGCATTAATAGTGGAGGGTCTTTGTCGGTTCCATACTATCAGTAACCGGTAACTGGTTACAGTTTAAGGTGCTAGAGTTGAAAACATTCACCATACTAAAGCTTGTTGCTCCCTCACATTTTTTCTCAGGCCCTCGGCTAAAGCAAATGGCAACAACAATTACATGCCCGATGAGTTCATCATCCTCATCTTCGGCGGCTGCGATTTTGTAAATAGAAAGAGCTTCGCGCGAGCCATTGAACTTTTGGCAAGTCAATGACATCCAGACACGACTGGAGTGATGAACCCCAGTGAAAATTGACAAGAATGAGGCAGATAGGTAGCGATACACGTCTAAGTACCAAATGATATAGATAGAAATCTAAATAATTCGAGATGGAAAAATGCAAATTGTAAAATTAAATGCAAAGTCCAAACTTGCAAGAAATTTGCAGTGTATTTGCTGCAAATGTTGCAAACGACACTTTGCAAATTGCAAAGCTATGCCTAGATTAACATTGCAATTGCGCATATATGCTTCCTTGATCGCGATCACACAGCTATATGAATTCTATAACCTCCGAGAGCCTCGAGGCTGGCATACATCGACTTGCAAATGGTACTGATACTTACATATGCGATTGTGATGCCTGCCTTGGGAAGAACAAAGGCAAGCCCAAGTGCGTACCCCGAACTACTTACTTCCGGCACAAACCCAACAGACTCGCTAGATTTTTCCCCCCACCACTTCCTGCACAAACTCCAGCTCCTATACCGGTGCCATTGTCTAGCAAGCGTCCTCTGGATGCTTCTGATCACCCCAAATAGCCACCCATATCGAAGCACAAGGATGATCGGATTGATGGCACAGAAGACGGTGTGTTCATAACCCTGTGATCAATATCAATTTGCTGATATGAATAATAAGATTTTGATATACCTGAGGCTGCTGACAATATTCCAGGCCCTGACGCACTCGATGGAGCTTTTGATCACCTCGAGGACACCAATTTTGGTGATATGGGACCCGAGGACAGGGAGGAGGAAGAGGAAGCTCGTGTTGAGGACAATATACCTGAGAACTTCAATCAAGACATGCCCCTGGATGATGTCGATCTCGAGGGTGCGGACACTGACTTGGGAACCATGGGCTGGACGGATGAGGACTTGGACGAGCTACAGCAGATGGCATGCCTTGAAGATGCCCAGGATTCGATGTCATTCATTACTGCTCTCCGAAAAGCATCCCTAGACGACGCACACTCTAAACTACCTCCAGATGCACTAGACAGACTTCGAAACCCTCCCTGCGAACTCCCCAATATGTCAGATCCTGATCTTATCCTTACATTAAAATATTACTTTGCAAATACAACAATCGCTGCTTACAATCTTATCCGCGAGGCCACGATCGAACGACACCCGAAGATGATGTATATAGTCATTACCGGGTTAAGCAAGCTGTCTGTGAACTTAGTGGTGTCGTCCCGATCATTAATGACATGTGTACCAACACATGTCTCGCATTCACAGGTCCATACACCGAGCTCGATCATTGTCCTCAATGTGGAGAAGATCGATGGGACGCCAAAAAGAGCTCACCTCACAAGAAGGTAGCTCAGAAAATGTTTGACACATTTCCTGCTGGACCGCAGCTTCAGGCCCTATGGCGCCATCCAGACCAGGCAAAGAAGATGCGATGGCGCCAGGAGTACACCAACAAGATCATTGACGAATTGAAGACAACCGACGGCATTCCGGAGGTATATGAAGATGTTCTTCATGGGAAGCAATATCTGGACGCGTGCCAATCTGGCAAAATTAAAGATGGTGATGCGGTTCTTATGTTCTCGATCGATGGTGCCCAGCTCTATGAATCCAAACAATCCGACTGTTGGATATATATTTGGGTAATTTTCGATCATGCGCCAGACGTCCGGTACAAGAAGAAGTACATACTCCCGGGTGGTATCATTCCTGGCCCCAAAAAACCCAAAAATCTAGATTCTTTCATTTTCCCCGGCCTACACCATCTTCGCGCAATTCAGACAGAAGGGCTTCCAATTTGGGATGGCGCAAAGAAGGCTCTATTTCAATCTAATCCCTTTCTCTTTGTTGCAACAGCTGACGGCCCCGGCATGGCATTTCTTACTGGCCTCGTGGGTCACCATGGCAGATTCGCATGTCATCTCTATTGTGGACTCCCAGGGAGACACAAACCAGGTGCACCTACATACTATCCTGCCCTACGTCAACCTGAAGGTACTGATCAACCTAATCACCCCGACTTCTTCATTGATTGGCTTCCCCTTCCTGGATCATTCAATTATGAACAGAACCTCACAAGCGTGTGATCCGCTGTTCCAACATGGCCGAATATGAGCTTGCACGCCTCGAGACAGGCATTATGAAACCAAGCATCTTCTGCGGCTTCGACACTGACCATATTTTGCTGGTGCCGCTGTGCTTTGGCTCTGACATCATGCACATCGCTGCCATCAATACCGGTGATCTCCTTCTACCCCTCTGGAGAGGAACCTTTAGAGCCGAGACTACGGATGATAAATCCACATGGGCCTGGGCTGTTCTGACGAAGGCGACTTGGAAGGCACATGGATCTCTGATCACAGATGCAACACCCTTTCTGCCAGGTTCATTTGATCGACCTCCTCATAACCCTGCAGAGAAGATCAATAGTGGGTATAAGGCCTGGGAATGGCTTCTCTACCTGTATGGGATGGCACCAGCTACACTCTATGGCATTCTGCCTGAGCCCTATTGGTCACATTTTTGCCATCTTGCCTGGGGACTACGTCTAATGCAACAATACCACATATCTAGATCTGATCTCATTGAAGGCCACCATCACCTTCTTAATTTCGCAGATGAATTCGAAGAGCTCTATTACCAGCGCCGGATCGATCGGCTTCATTTTGTACGACCATGGCTCCACTCAATCACACATATCGCTGGTGAGACAGTCAACAAGGGACCACCGATTTGTTCATCACAATGGACGATGGAGCGAACCATTGGCAACCTAGCTCAAGAGATATGACTACACAACTCCTCTGTCTACGCTAATCTCTCTCAACGTGCTGCCCGTCATTGTCAAGTCAACACCATCAAGGCTATCATACCAACAATTGAACCATCAGATAATGCTTCCCTGAAGGGCTCGTTGGATATCGGCCAGGGATATTTACTGCTGCGGTGAAGAGAGAGAACAGCTCATGCAGTACGTCCCTGTGAGGCTCAAGTATTACTTCGCTACCTGTCCAACAACAATGTTCATGTTACCTCCGCCCCTCTCGTCACTCGATGGGCTTGTCTTCGCCTTCCAAATGGGCAAGTTACACGGTCTGCATGGAAGGAAAATGCTATGTCCAAGCAACCAAGAATGGCACACAATGTGAAGGTATGTTTTTCATGGTCACTCTATTAGTATTATACATTGACACGTACACTAAAGTTATCGATTGACGGCAAGACCACTGTTGCCGAAGTCTTATTTTATTTCAATATGATGCTTCACGACAAAGAGAAGACCTTTGCTTTCGTATCTGAATTCAGCCAGCCGCACACAGATCTATTTGAAAACTCGTCGCAAATGGTCTTTGCCTGTCGTTATTGTGGAGACACTTCATTGAAACTTGTCGAGGTTCATACTATACAGTCTGTGGTGGCTATGATTCCTCATAATTTTCCGGGTATTGATGGTGTTCTTTTCTAACGACCAGGGTTGGACATTATAAGAATGAGTGGTGTGGAAGAGGAGGGTATTCTTGACGAAGAATGAGTTCAATTACTTTTTTATACGAGATGCAAGCATGTTTATTTATCTGACTACTGCATCACTAAAGAGCTTCTTCAAGTTCTCGTTTCATTGCACGAACCACAAGAAAATTCATGTCTGTACGCAATCGATCGTACCATGCTTCATCCTCCTCCTTCGACATGTACTTCCAGTAAATTGATCCAGGCAGTGGTGGGCTTGGCATTGCAAATATAGACTTCATATTACTTTTGGGCGTGGAGAGAACTGGTCTGGTGATAGTGGACGAGTGTGCCATTGGCTCAGGTGGGTCACTTTCAGGCTCAGTGACAGCTTTCAGGATTATTCACACAAGGAGGGGTGATGACTTGCTGTGGTGTTGGCTCAGGTGGGTTGCTTTCGGGCTCGGTGATGCTTTCAGGATCATCCACACGAGGGAGGGGTGATGACTTTCTGCAGTGTCGGCTCGGGTGGGTCGCTTTCAGGCTCGGTAACACTTTCAGGATCATCCACACGAGGAGGGGTGAAGACTTGCTGCAGTGTTGGCTCGGGTGGGTCGCTTTCGGGCTCGTCAGGCCAGGGAGGCATAGTATTTGGGTGATGCCTTCAATATAAGTTGTTGAACCGAGATATAATCATATAATAGTGACTCACAACAGTTGCTGTCTGATCAAGTGTTCTTTCTCTGGATGTGCATGCCAGTATGCTGGGTTGACAAACATATCATCTGAGGGTGTCATCTTCGGTGTGCTGGAACGACTGTCTGAAAAAGATATGCTAAGATACATTAGTGATAACAGTGTTAGAAGTGATGGAGAACATACCTAGTATCAGCATCATAGCCATCAATATCCTGATCAAAAGACATATCTAAAACTCGTTGAGTGGATGTAGGATGAATTGATGATACTATAGAATGAATTGGACTTAGTCCAAAGTTTCCTTTCTTGACTTGTACCGCAGTGCCCCTTCTCATCATACCATCATTATGCCCGACACAACGACTTCACCTGACAGGATATGCCAATCTCCTCATGTCTCAAATTTCTCCACAACATTCTTTTAATTCACAACTTAATTCCGGTGGCTCACATAATTTTCAAAATACCCGGTGTGATTGCGATACCAATAATACCGTGAGTTCTATGATAGAGAACTTGTTACATTAATGAGATACACATGTCATTAGTCTACCATGTTGCACGAAGGGCTCTGGGCTCTTCTTGATCAGGATCGTTTATCTCCCAATGATCCTGACGTCAACATGATCTCACAATTGAGGTGAGAGATATCGGAACTCCAGCACACAGTCACCTTTCTCCAGTCGGAGAAAACACAACTCGTCAATGAAACTTGTGTCTGAACATGAAATGCGAAACATTGCAGTAAGTTCTAGTTATATCATGCGCATATATGCGCACCATGTTTGCTGATGCGATCAATGATGTCATGGTATATCTTCTCTCAGGACCATACTTGTTAACAGTCGAGGTTCTGCCAGCTCGACTGCATCAAGTTCTTCTTTGTCGGTTGCAAGTGACAGTACTGCGGATCGAAAACCTACTCTTTTGGACGTCGCTCGTGAAGATTCTGATCATGATCTCAATGCAATCGATTACCCACTGGTCAGATCATGGACGAAGAAAGACTGGCAGGAGAACATGCCGTCAAGTACATCAGCCAATCCTGGATCCTCTGGGAAAAAGCGATGAGCCACACGCATGGCATGAGGCATCAATGTAGCATGTACCTACCTGCAAGACCAAGCTGGCCAGCTGGTGTCTGCACAATGGGCAAAAACCATCCGTCTTTTCATGCTGTCATCTTTTTGACAACTCGAATCTCAAGGTCTCGCGCCCGAATCCATCGGCTAAGCATCGCTCAAAGTCCTACATTGGCTTATTCACATGCTACGCAAACATTACATTGAACTCCGTCTATGCGCTGACAATTGGAAAGCTATGAAATTAATGATCGACAACTATTCCCAATGGTACAACTACCACGTCATCAAGAAACAAACTAGCAGTCATGTCAAGTCCGAAGACATAGAGACTGCCGACGATGACAACAACATTACCCCTCCTTCTTCCTCACCATCTGCGACACCCGCTGTTATCCCTCCTTCTTCCTCACCATCTGCAACACCTGCTGTTACCCCCCCTTCCTCATCTTCTTCAACACCTGCAGGCTACCCCTCCTTCCTCATCTTCAACTTCTCAGAAATGAGTTAACATTGATATCGACCCTGTCGCAGAACCAGCGTTGAAAAGACAATGAGTCGAAGTGGAGGACCTCTCACCTTCACCTCTTTTAACTGGCCCTGATAATGATTTGTATATTGCACCGGTAAGTCAAATTTTCCTCCTGTTTTACTTATTAATTGTTGTAGATTATGCCACCTGCCTCACCCTGCACTGAGAATGAAATCCCGCTGACACGCATCACCAGAACGTGAACCAACCCCACCTCCCCGTACTGACAAAGGAAAAGAGAAGGAAGTGATTACTGTGGAGGTCAACAATCCTCTGTAAGTGATCGCTCTATTGATCATTCCATTCTACTGATACTATTAATTTAGTTCTAATCTTGTCTTCAAACCTCGCCCCAAGCCAATCCCAAAGAAAGCTCCTGCCTCCATTGACTCTGCCACTTCTGGAACGACTAACGCCGAGCCAACTATCATCACCCCTCCATCCAATGACCCATCGGATACCAATGCAGCTTCCCTCACTGTCAAGATGGAACTCCTGGTAGTGACCCCCACGGAGCCCATTCCTGGTGCAATCAACTCGAAGGCCCAACCTGCAAAGAAGCGTCAGCTGAGCACAAAGCCCATGCGTGTGAGCTTGAAGATCACGGCACGGTAAGATTTATCTATTGCAGTCACAGCAAGTAAGGCTAACACTATTATTATTATAGGAATCTTTGTGCCCTCGAATGGCAATCGAACAGCCATCAGAAAGAACCAGCAAGTGTCTTTGCAACCTACTGGAACGGTCTATCGAAGACTGACAAAGAGGTATGTCGTTTTTGTATTGATGTCATCTATCTACTGACTAGCACGATTATTGAAGGTATACAAGCACAAAGTGGCTCTACAGGTGCATGGTATTCATGATATCCGCGAGTATCTTCATACTAACAATGATTTGCCTGCTAGCTCGGCTCAGCTGGACCAACTGAAAGGAACGGCGCCGGCGATGATGCAGACGAGGAGTAGCGGATGGATACGAGGCGGGATGGCGGGATGTCGGGATGGCGGAGGCGGGCGCAGGCACAGCAATACCACTACCTAACCATAGCGATACCTATTCATCTCATCTAATTGGAACATTTTCAGCACATGTTTGCATCTAAAACCCATCTAAAGCCAACTAAAATCGTATTGAAGCTCGTTTCGGTCTCTATCGTTTTTTGTCTCGAAAAGTCCCACTTTTCTAAAGAGGTCGAAACATAACGAAAAATTTCATTCCCTCATATTTTTTTCGATCTATATCTACATGTATTCACATCATTCTTGTCGATTTTCACTGGATATGAACCTCCGAGGGGGTGTTATTTTTAGCGTGATAGTCTAAATCCTAGTCTAAATGCAGTATTAGTCCAAACACAATGTTCAAGTTCTGAGATCACCAGTGCCGTAAGCTCACGGTGAGCATCAAACTTTGACAAGTGAAAATTATGGCACACTGGCGGTTTGGGAGTTTTTCACTATGCAAGATTTGTTTCGAATTGTTAGTGATATTTTTATTGTGTCAAAATCTATAGTAAGAACATTGCAAACTGCCGGTGTGTGGGTCTCTTGTTGATGGGCGCTGGATTATGGCACTGGATCTGTTCAACTATTCTTCACACACAAAACTCACACACACTGCACAGACGCGACACACACAAAATGAGACGCACACACATAATCACTCCTTCGCATACATACTCTTGTATCGTAGAAAAATTAGTACTGCACTACTAGATCTGACATGATTCAATAATCAAATTGTATTGCAGACAAGGTCCCCAATGAAGAACTGTAGAGTCCAAGGGGCAAATAAAATGCACCGAAGCCGCCAGCATTGGCAGCAAAGCCTCGAATCTTTTCAAGGCCTGGCCGGTGGACGAGATGGAGCGATGAGAAGTGAGTAGGTCTCAGAGCGATGATGAAGGTTTCTATAAGCGCAAAGCAAGTAGAGTCCAAGGGCAAACAAAACGCACCGAAGTCGCCAGCATTGAGAGCAAAGCCTCGAACCTTTTTAAGGACCGGCTGGTGGACAGTGCGCAAAGATGCAGGTGACGTGGCAGGCGCTTGTTATGGTGCCGCAGTTAATGGTATCAATACCGAGCGACATCGAGAAGTAGGAGGGCATGAGAGATGAGGCACGGAATGAGAGAACAAGTGGGAGAGAGTTAGCACGAGAGAACAGGTATGAGAGAGCAAGCATGAACGGGTGCAAGAGAGCGAGCACAAACAAAAGAGTTAGAGTGAGCATGAGAATGGGCGCGAGGGACCAGAAGTATAGGTCCATAGACATTGATTGGTTCACGAGAGAACAGGTAGGCGCAAGAGATAGTAACTGCAGGAGTGCAAGATGCTTCGCAGTAAGAATATAGAAAAATGATAAAAAGTCAAAACATACCTTGAGTCTCAATGTCACCAGCATTGGTTCCTTTCAACTCCCTGGCGAAAACAAAGGACTTGGAGAAAATTGAGTGTACGTAGATCTTGTTGAGAAAGTTCCATCTTGGTTCTGTCACCACTGGCGCTCTAGATGGTACTGTATGCACAAAAATAGCAGGGACAGCAGTAGGAGACCCGCTTTCAGCATTTCATCCCTGGGTGTTGGTGTTAGCCTCTTGACTATTACACATTGACATCCCGAGGTACTGAAGAACTGCAGTGACTTATAGAAAAAAATAGCAAAGCCTCAGGCGGCACAACACTTATGTAATACATGTTAAGATTGATGTGTAGTTCAGCCAATAATGAGCACTGCCGCATTATTGCCTGCGAGGAGCCGCCCATTATCGAGCACTCATGATACTGCACTGACAATACTCCGTGTTCCATCGACTGGTATGCGAAGGAGTGATTATGTGTGTGCATCTCGTTTGTGTGTGTCGCGTCTGTGTGTGTGTGTGAGTTTTGTGTGTGCAGAATAGTTGAACAGATCCAGCGCCATAGATAATCACTCAGACCTTCATGGCTTCCTTCAAACCCTGAAAAAACAAATACCCTCCAAAGACGTTGTAGGACACACATCAGCAACAAGGCAATGATAAGATGAAATTAAATCATCGTTCCTCATCGCTGGAGGTTCCTATGAAACACACCACAGGTCTTCAACAGCGGGCATTCAGGTAGGTTACTGCTTATAATGAAACTTACCCTGAAAAGCCTTCGGTACCTTTAAGTGGTGCCAAGGCTGGTGAACTGATCCACGGTACAGAGTCTAATTGCGCCGAGTGTCATGAGTTCCAAATACAAATCATTATTCATTCCTTAATTCTAAATCCTTTAAGTGCCCAGTCACAGTGCCTGTTCCTAAGAATATGTTTACCGTTGAAGAAGTTCCTATTATTGCGTCTATTGTAGAATTACCAGAGTCACAGTGATCTATCGGACAATGCCGAAGATGTTGATGTCATGCCTCGCAATACTCTTGGAATGTTCCAGAGTCTTACTGCGGCTGCGGCACATGTTATGACATCATAGTTATATATAGAATCGTACAATACCTTTAATTATTCTGATTGGTTAGTTAGTTCATACTCAGTTTCGATCTCAGTTTCAATATGTGTATATAGGTAGCTCATCATAGTCAGTAGTTCTTTAGTTCAAACCTCTTGTATCTCCAAGTGAGCAATACCAAGACGTACCTGCTGCCTACCTCCTCTGTATGATTATTCTTTGTTTGAGTCCTAGTCTCCGCCCAGCATTAATTTGTTATTGGGTTGTGACATTAGGTTTGAACTATAGGAGACTCCGACTCGCATTACACTCTCGCATCTCTCTTTCTTTCGCCTGGTCGTGTTGGAAGTCCCTTCACACCATCAGCCGAAACAAAGCCATTATACTTTTTGCCCGGCTTAACCGCCACGACTTTTGATTTCATCCCTTTGCTCATTTGAGCGCATTTTCCCTACCTATCATCTTTCTTAGTTAGTAGTCCTATACCAGGCCCTGTCTTACCACAGCCGCCAGTATACGGAGGTGTTCACGACATTAGGCGTGTCACTGCAACTTTGAGTGCTGGCCCAAGACCCTGCCTGCTCAACGTTACTATAGTTTCATTTTACCTATCCCTTTCTTCTTTACGCACGTAGGCATTCGTTTCGAGTCAATAGCGGAACTGTCTAGATAACAAACCTGTGCTTTCGACCTACGAGGATTTAGAGACATACCCTAGTGAGACTCGCACTTGTAAGCTTCGGCTGGAAGAGTGATAACTTGTCCTAGGCTTGTACCCTCAGAATGGAGATTGCATTGTCCCTAGTTTTTCCCACTTGATCGAGTATAGTTTACGTACCCTTTCTAGTCAGTATTAGAGAAGCGTCAGTTGGGTTGATTAAAGAATCCTTTGACCCTGAAGTACGAGGTTGATCTGATCAGATATTGGGGACCGCTTCAGTTTTCCATTTACATAACTTTCTCTTTTTCATCATCATTCCCTTCCGGAAGAGCCCTTACGAGCAGCTCTTCAACAGACATCAGTGAATCGGGTTCCAGAACACAACTGGCACTATGTCTGAATTACCAAACTCTCCTGTACTGAGAACAACCTGCACCGGTGGTATTACCATCTACTCCACAGGAAATTGTCGAGTACATTCACCTGTCACTTGCAAATCAAGCGGACAGCTTCAGAGTCAGGATCGCAGAACTAGAAGCCAAGAATGCGGCTCTAGAAGAATCAAACAGACTCCTTGCTGTACGCCTAGAAATGCAAGAAGACGAGACTATGAAAATACAGTCTCAACAACCATCATTCGGCTCTGCAGGAGCTAGCCTACTTTCATCGAATTCCTCCCCCTCCATCAAATACTCCAAACCCCAAGACTTCACAGGAGAAAAAGACTCCATAGAACTAATGGTCTGGATATCCCAAGTAGCGCTATACACTGCGCAATGGCCTAATATCCAAGAAGGCCAAAGGATTGGAGTGATGCTTTCATTCATGAAAGGAACTGCAGCCAAATGGGCGCAACCTTACATCACCAAACTTGGAAAGACTGGAGATGAGAAGTTGACCGTGGAGAAATTCCTGGAAGACTTAGAAGCCATGTGGGGGCAGGAAGATCGTGAAGGAAAAGCGATCAGAGTACTGGAAACCCTTAAACAAGGATCTTCCTTGGTTCCAGAGTACGCAGCCGCTTTCAGACAAAAGGCTGCACACACTTCATTTTCTGACTACGACCAGCAACAGAAGTTCAAGATGGGACTTCAAGACCGTGTCAAAACACAGCTCGCTCATGTCTCTTACAAAGACAAAGACACCATGAAGAAACTGGTGGAACATGCAATCCAAATTGGACGCAACTTCGAAGAGCTAGATGCGGACAAGAAGAAGACCACCTGGTGGACCCCTAAACAAGGCCTGTCACAACCCCTTTAAACGAATTAACACAGGGCAGAGACTAGGACTCAAACAACAAGATAATCACAAAGAGAATAAGGCAGCAGGTACGTCTTGGATTGCTCACTTGGAGATACAAGAGGTTTGAACTAAAGAACTACTGACTACGATGATCTACCTATATACACATATTGAAACTGAGATTGAAACTGAGTATGAACTAACTAACCAATCAGAATAATTAAAGGTATTGTACGATTCTATATATAATTATGATGTCATAACATGTGCCGCAGCCGCAGTAAGACTCTGGAACATTCCAAGAGTATCGCGAGGCATGACATCAACATCTTCGGCATTGTCCGATAGATCACGTGACTCTGGTAATTCTACAATAGACGCAATAATAGGAACTTCTTCAACAGTAAACATATTCTTAGGGACAGGCGCTGTGACTGGGCGCTTAAAGGATTTAGAATTAAGGAACTGAATAATGGTTTGTATTTGGAACTCGTGACAAGGCCCCAGGACCCCTGAATACAAACCTGGTCCTAGCAGGGAAAGCGACGCTATGGACGTCGATGCCAACAAGCAGCGAGGTGCTCCAAGACCTCAAGGAAAGACTGGATCTTTCAAATGTTACCGCTGCTGGTGGCAAAGGCCACATAGCTAGAAACTGCAAAGACGCAATCGCGGCCAAAAGCGCAAGTGAAGGCTACTACAGTGCCAAAAGAAGAAGACCCTATCCCAAGTTGGTTCAAAGCCTGGGCCACTAAATAAGGCAAGGGTTTTTAGAGGGGTCGAAGTCAAAGTCTGCGAACTTAGACCCAAACAATCGTTTCTCCATTCTATCTACGTTTTCGGATGTATCAGAAGTATTTATCAAATCAAAATCTGAGCATTTTTACATTCCGATCACGTTGAAGGGAAAGAACCGACAAGCAGATGTGAAAGCACTGGTAGATTGTGGTGCATCAACATTATTTATTAGTGAGAAGTTTGTGAAAAAGAACGAAGTCCGGTGCCATAAATTATTAAGGCCCATTCCGGTTAAAAATATTGATGGCTCGTTAATGCCGCTGGATCGATGACTCATTATGCTGATTTAGGTCTAAAGATCGGTGACCATGTTGAGGATCAAGCAGCCTTCATGGTTACGGACTTAGGAAGCGATGATGTTATTATTGGCATAGATTGGCTAAGATATCACAACCCTAGAAATAGATTGGAATGCTGGACGTTTTGCACTTTCTCGTTGCCCGGTTAAATGTATTACTAAAAAAGAACAAAGACAAAAACATAAAGAAAAAAGAAAAGAACAAAAAAAGATAGAAGAAGTGCCAGATCTGATTCCCACAGAAGAGGATGACGAAGAAGACATGGCGATGAAGAGGGCGACAGTTGAGGAAATAGAAGACGAAGAGTATCCTGGAGAATGGATCAAGTATAAAGCCTCGGTTGCCACGGAGCAGAAGGTTGCAGAAGAAGCAATGAAAGTGAAGAAATCGGTCGAAGAGATGATTCCCGATTGGCTTCACTGAGTACCTGGGAGTTTTCTCAGAAGAAGAATCTAAGCGCTTCCCCGAAAGAAAGAAATGGGATCATGCGATAGATCTTAAAGATGATGGCGATCTTCCACCAAATGCGAAACCCTACCCCTTGTCACCTAAAGAGATGGACACCTTGAAAGATTGGTTAAAAGCCGAAACTGCACTGGGACGTATTAGAGATTCACAATCTCCAGTAGCAGCACCTTTCTTCTTTGTGGCCAAAAAAGATGGCAAGTTGAGGCCGGTGATGGATTATAGAAAGCTCAATGAGAAGACGGTTAAAAATGCATACCTGCTACCAAGATCTCAAGATTTGATTGATGCTTTAACCGGTGCCACGATGTACTCCAAAATGGATGTAAGATGGGGGTACAATAATATTCGCATGAAAGAAGGAGATGAATGGAAGGCGGCCTTCAAAACACCGTTTGGTCACCACGAACCAACCGTAATGTACTTTGGTTTAACAAACTCCCCTGCCACATTTCAAACCATGATGAACGAGATATTCAGAGATTTAATTGATGGAAAGACTGTAGTTGTCTATATCGATGATATCCTCGTGTTCATGAATGGCAATAGGGAGCAACACTGAAAAGTTGTACGAGAGGTACTGAAACGACTAAAAGAGAATGACTTGTATCTGAAGCCTGAAAAGTGTAGCTTCAAACAGTCAGAAGTCGAGTTCCTCGGGTTGATAGTGGAGAAGGGTGGTATTCGAATGGACCCTGTGAAGGTAGAAGGAGTAATGAAATGGCCTGTACCCAAATGTGTTAAAGATATACAAGCATTCATGGGCTTCACCAACTTCTACAGAAGATTTATCTTCGGGTTCTCGGATATCGCCAGACCAATGAATGATTTATTACAGAAGGATGCCAAATGGGACTGGATGGAGAAACAGCAAGATGCTTTCGATGAACTGAAGTCAAGGTTCACATCAGCTCTGATCCTAGTAATGCCTGATGTTGAGAAAAAAATGAAAATAGAAACCGATGCTTCTGATTACGCAACTGGAGCGGTTCTATCTCAACTAATGGAAGATGACCTATGGCACCCCGTGGCGTATTACTCTAAATCACTGAACGATGCAGAAAGAAATTATGACATCCATGATAAAGAGTTACTCGCAATCATTTGAGCATTAGAGGAGTGGAGGCACTATGTGCAGGGAAAACCTCACCATGTGGAGATCTGGATGGATCATAAAAATATCGAGTACTTTATGACGAGCCAAAAGTTGACAAGAAGGCAAGCCAGATGGAGTTTTTTCCTGGCGGAGTATGAATTTATGCTCCAACACAAGCCTGGTGTAGTCAACGATAAGGCTGATAAGCTTTCTCGGAGAGAAGACCACAGAGGGGGGGTGGAAAACGACAATTCTGATCGTATTTTGTTAAAACCGGAGTTTTTTACTGTAAAAGCTGCTAAAAGAGGTCAAGTTCTAGTGCAAGGAGAAAAACAATTGCTGAGAAAGATAAGGCAATGCACAGAACAAGACCCCGAAGTCGCTAAAGCGCTACAAACGCTAAAAGCAGCACCGGTACAATTGCATAGAGGAGTCGAAGAGTGGAATGTGGAGGATGGATTGGTGTTATTCTGAGGACTGGTTTACATTCCAAACAATAAAGAGATCCACCGAGAGATATTGGAGATGTTTCATGACTCTCCACCGGCTGGACACCCTGGACGTGCCAAAACCTTAGAATTGATTTCCAGAAATTATTGGTGGCCTTCAATGACGAAGTATGTCCACGATTACGTAGATGGCTGTGATAGATGCAGAGCAACAAAGATCCACCCAACGCAACCACACGGTCCGCTTAAACCAAATGAAATACCAGCGGGACCTTGGCAATCAATCGCTTGTGATTTGATAGTAGATTTGCCTAAAAGTGAAGGGTTCGACTCTATTTTTGTTGTCATTGATCGATACACGAAACAAACGCACATCATGCCTACAAAAAAGGCAATTGACACTCGAGGAATCACGAAACTTTTCTTAGATAACGTATGGAAACACCATGGAACTCCGAAACAGGTGATATTGGATAGAGGAACACAATTTGTCTCCAAGTTTATGGGACAAGTGTCAAAACGCCTAGGCATAAAATGGAACATGTCGACGGCTTATCATCCTCAGACGGACGGACAAACAGAAAGAATAAACCAAGAAGTAGAGCAATATCTGAGAATGTTCACGTCTTACCACCAAAATGATTGGGTAGACTGGCTTCCGATAGCAGAATTCGCTCACAATAATTCCGTCACTGTAACCGGTCATAGTCCATTTAAAGTACTCTACAGATATGATCCCGAGTTTACTTTTTTACCGATTTCCAATTCTAAAGTACCTGCAGCTGATGAACGAGTGGATGTAATGAAAGAGGCAAAGGAAGACGCAGAAAGTATGCTGCGAATGGCGAATGAGCGGATGAAGAGATTCTACGATAAAGGAGTAAAAGACACACCACAATTCAAGAAAGGAGATCTGGTCTGGCTCAATGCCAAAAATATCCTGTCAGAAAAGACCAAATAAGAAACTCTCTGATCGACGACTTGGTCCATTTGAAGTGCTAGAGAAGACAGGTGATGTAAATTACCGCCTGAACCTTCCAGCAAAATATCAGATTCATCCAGTATTCATGTAGAATTACTCACTCCTGCATTTCCCCTCGACCTTAGTCCAAAGACTTCCACATCATCGTCCACCACCAGAGATCTTATCGGAAGGCGATTCCGAATGGACAGTACGAAAGTCCTAGACTCGAGACTGCACAGATCAAAACTCCAATACCTAGTAGAGTGGGAAGGATATCCGATAGAAGAAGCGACATGGGAACCTGAGGAAAACCTTGAGAATGCACGGTTGAAAGTTCAAGAATTTCACCAGCAAAATCCGAAGGCATTAAATCCCCGCAAAATTAACAAATTGGTGTTCAAAACCCAAGAGTTTTTGGAATGGCGCAAAAAGTTTATTCATCCTAGTTTCATTTGCGATGACGCTCATCCTAGAGAGGGGGTAATGTCACGAGTTCCAAATACAAATCATTATTCATTCCTTAATTCTAAATCCTTTAAGTGCCCAGTCACAGTGCCTGTTCCTAAGAATATGTTTACCGTTGAAGAAGTTCCTATTATTGCGTCTATTGTAGAATTACCAGAGTCACGTGATCTATCGGACAATGCCGAAGATGTTGATGTCATGCCTCGCAATACTCTTGGAATGTTCCAGAGTCTTACTGCGGCTGCAGCTGTTACAAGTAACATCGGCTACATGGCCCCCCTATCACTTTTCCCCTTCGTCCTCGCCCTCGTATGCCTCCGGCTCGTACTTCTCTACCGACTATCCGTTGACCGGATCCTCGGGACCGTTCCCATCCCTCATCCCCCTCCTATCGCACCAACGTGCACACGTGCCTTCGGGCTATGACTTGTTCTGACTCGTGCCACCAATGTGGCTTTCCTTATCTTGTCTTATCTTTCCTCTGACTCATGCATGCTGCGCATTGTATCATTTACCGTTGGCTCGTTCCAATGTTTCTCAATCTCATTCTGCATTCGACCTCACATCACTAATCAGGCTCTGCTACCAGTGTACCTATACCCTTTCCGTTTCCCCTTTGCCCTTACCTACAGTACGGTAGCCTTGCCCTTAACCCTTTCCACTTAGTATAAGTAGTTGGTCACTCTGTACTAGATTCCCTAACTTGAATCTACTCAATCTTCCCTCGAACATACTTCCCTCTGAAGCCCCCTCAGCTTCAGTCTCTAGTATCTTTTCTTAGATGCTCATCGCGCCTAAGTCTACCTCAATCAACTACTCATCGTTCAGACAAGACTGTCCTTACTTTGAGAACGTCAGTGACTTTGAAGACATCCGTCTTAGAAGTCACGTGACACACGCGTCTCTGATATCTGCCGACTCATTGTCGCCAGTCTCAGTCGCCATACCGGACCCTTCCGGTTACGTCACGAACTGTTAGCGGACGACGCCCCTCTTAGGGCTCCGCATAACAGATCTATTTGAGTGCGTAACAGCGGCACATGTTATGACATCATAGTTATATATAGAATCGTACGATACCTTTAATTATTCTGATTGGTTAGTTAGTTCATACTCAGTTTCGATCTCAGTTTCAATATGTGTATATAGGTAGCTCATCATAGTCAGTAGTTCTTTAGTTCAAACCTCTTGTATCTCCAAGTGAGCAATACCAAGATGTACCTGCTGCCTACCTCCTCTGTGTGATTATTATTTGTTTGAGTCCTAATCTCCGCCCGAGCCCATTCAGTAACATTTTCCGACTTAGTCGGACAGTCCAAAGGTTGAGATTCTGCCCAGGTAACCGGGCCATCCAAAGTGGGCCCATGGGTGGGTGGCCCACAGTACAGAAATCACTGACACTGGCGGCTGGGCTGAGGTGTGAGGTCCATAGAGATGAGTGGGCCCAAAATGTGTGACTGGGTAGGCCTGCATGCTTGAGGGTGAGAATGGGCCAGGCGGATTTGTGAAAATTTTGACGGATGGGCCCAGCCCGCATGTATGTGTACATATGGGCTCGGGAAACAGGGCAACGGATGGGCCCAAAATGTGTGACCGGGTGGGCCTGCATGCTTAAGGGTGAGAATGGGCCAGGCAGATTTGCGAAAATTTTGACGGATGGGCCCAGCTCGCATGTATGCGTACATATGGGCTCGGGAAACAGAGCAACGGATGGGCCCAAAATGCGTGACTGGGTGGGCCTGCATGCATAAGGGTGAGAATGGGCCAGGCGGATTTGCGAAAATTTTGACGGATGGGCCCAGCCCGCATGTATGCGTACATATGGGCTCGGGAAACAGGGCAACAGATGGGCCCAAAATGTGTGACTGGGTGGGCCTGCATGCCTAAGGGTGAGAATGGGCCAGGTGTATTTGCGAAAATTGTGATGGATGGGCCCAGCTTGTAGGCATGCTCGGGAACAAGGGCAACAGATGGGCCCAAAATATGCGACCGGGTGGGCGTGCAATGCCCGAGGATAGGCCCAGCGGATTGCATGTAATCTTGAAAATCACCACAGATGGGCCCACCGTGGATTTCATCTCAGAAAAGGCAAATTGGGCCAGTGCATATGCAGATGCGGTCTCGGAAACAGTGACGGATGGGCCCAGTCTGCTGTGTTTGAACTCGGAAAAGGCAACGGACTGGGCCCAGTCCCCCATGGATAGAATAACTTCGGGTGGAGTCTCAGGGGAAGGCTATGGATGGGCCCAGAACATGCTTATTTGCTCGCGAAAATGGTGGCTGATGGGCTGAATGTGCTTGGAAGAAACTCAGGAATAGACCCTTCCACCCATGACTGTGGAATCGGAAAGGACGACGGATGGGCCCAGCACTCGTCGTATATAGCCGAGAATGGTGGAGCCCGTTGATTTGGTCTCAGGCGAAGGCGACTGGGTGGACTCAACGTGTGTGTATTCCTGAGAATGGTGACGGATGTGTGCAGCATGTATGTTGCATGATGGAAAGGGGCTACAGATGGACCATCTGTCATCCCTTGCGATGGCGATGATTTCCGGGCCCATCGGGCAAAGATAACAAATTGGTCGGGTGGCAGACAGAACCTTCATGTAGTTTGTGCTCGACCAGAGCTGGCAGATAGGCAAAGACCCTTACCGACCCAGGGTTCTGACGACGTCCCCAATGATGGGTCTGCCAGGCACTTCCGATATCCTATTTGCGCCTTGGCGGAATATAGCGTATCGTCCGCGGGGCTGACGCCATTTGATGAGTCATTAACATTCGCTGGGCCATCTGAGATGCCCTTCATTAATGAAGAGTTGGCATCGCCGGACCTGTCCGATATCCTGTTTGCGCGAGGGCCAATTATGCTTCCTCCGTCCCGCTCATACGTCCGCTGGGCCATTGATTTATAATCAGCTAGGCCGCCATCAATGGAACCTCGGACTGTCACAGACATTGCTCTTGATGCCTTCCTCTATTCATACTGTTTGCTGTCTGGAATGCATCGGGATGTCCGAGCAATCTTTTGCACAAGACTACGATCTCCGGCTAGAAGTCAACACAGCCGACGATGTCCTTATTATGCGATTGATGCATCGGACACAAACCGCATGGGTGAGAAGTGGGTTAAGGCTTGTTGCGGTTGCAGACGGCGGTGCAAAGGCAATGTATGGATCAGCCCAGAGAGTGCTGATACGGAGGGGCCCAACTGGCCCAGCCCATACACATTCGTAGCGCGGATCGGCCCAATGCAGAAGTATCTGGCACAACTGGTTGTTCTGAACCTAGTGCATAGAAACTCTATATGCAGATCGGCCCAGTGCACAAGTACCTGGAGGAGCCCAACTGGTCATTCTGGTACCAATTCAGCGTGCGGATCAGGCCCAGTGGGTAAATTGTAGGCCCAGTATGTGTGTATCTTGATTTGTGCAACTTCCGGAAGGCTCAAGCGACACGATGTGCCACCCATTGATATTGCATTGCGGCAGGGAAAACAGAAGGCCCAGCTAGTCGTTTTGAGCACAATCAGTGAGTTTAATTAATGCATATACATTGATGCTCGGGACATGTTGACGGATGCGCTCGGTCAGTAATATAATATATCAGCCAAGCAAGTAAGTAATGCATTCGGGTCTCGTTGGGGCTTGGGAATGTTGGGGCCAGGAACACGAACATGCTGTTTTGGACTCTGAATAGTCAGCATCATACCTTGGTAATTTAAAATCTCGGCAAAATTTCATCGAGCACCAGTGGTCCCGGATGTTGATGGCGACGTGGGCCTTTACAAAGGTGACTCTGAATGCGAACTCCTGAATGGATATGTCTCATTATAAACAGAAATTTTCAGCACTGTATCGGTATTAAATAGATTGGTTGTCGCTATTCAGAACTGCACCGTGATGACTGGTTCCGGAAGCTAGTACAATCAGACAACCACATATCAGGTCATCACCACTTGATATGGTGGGTGATGACAATCAGTTCCGGATGCACCTTCTGTGTATGATGCTAAATCATGTCGGATATACGCAGGCGCAGTCTGGCCAGTATCACGGTGATTTGCGGGACCAAGAGGGTACTCCTATTGCCCGGCTCACGCTTTCATCCACCGGACTACTGGATGCACTTGCTGGTACAATAATCTCATGTGAAGATGATTTGCGCATCCTCAGGTCCCAACTTTTAGTTAGAATGAAGCAACACTATGATTTGACAAAGATCTGATAA